CAATTTAAATTTAGTAAAAAAATAATCATATTTTCATTACGTTAAAAATAAATGTATATTTTAATAGTTTAGTTCTTATTTTGTGTCAAAATTGGGCCGTGCCTAGAGCTATTAACGATTCGAATCGAGCCGAGTTGAGTCAAATTTTAAGTGTTTGTTAACGTTCGCGAACAAGGCTCGTGTTCGTTCGTTAAGCTTTCGAACTTGTTCGTAGTGTTCGAGCTTGGTTCGTTAAGAATTTTTGTTGTTTGAGCTCGTGTTCGAGTCGGCTCGTTTAGGCTCGTTTGAGTTCATTCGAGCTCGTTTTTTTTTTTTAAAAAAAATTTATATATAAATTATAAAAAAATATATAATTATTTTATTTATATATTTTAAATTAATATTTTATTTATTTATAAATTATAATTTTATATTATATAATATTTATAATAAATATATTATTTAAACGAACGTTTGCGAATAAAGCTCGGGCTCGTTCGTTAACCAAACGAGCCTGTTTATGTTGTTCGGCTCGGTTCGTTAACGTTCGCGAACGAGCTTTAACCGAGCCGAGTACACGAACGTCTTGATTCGTTTAACAGCTCTAGCCGTGCCTCTCCAGCCTGCGCAAAAAAATTGGATCCATCTGATTTGCCCACTCCTATTGTGAACATTCGTTTTTTGCCAGCCAACTTGCAATATAACTGAATGGCAAAATTATTTGTCAGTTTAAATCGAAAAAATCAACATTTTATTTTTGTATTTGGATTATTTGATTATTTGGTTTGACTTGGTCCATATCAAATTTATAAATTTTGTTTTGGATGATGATTCCCAATCTCTAATTTTGGTTAACTAAAATAACAAATCATTTTCAAAAAAATAAAACTGTATATTAACAAATAATTTATATTATAATTTTGAGTATTTATATATATATATTAATTAAGCAAATCAAATAAATTTTTGATTGTTCGTTTTAAACTATGATTCGGTTAGTTCAATTTTAAAAATATTTAGCTAAATTTAATTTTCAAAAACAAAAAAATCGATCAAAATTTAACGACTGAATGCACACTCCTAGTCCTCACATGATCACATTTGAATCACAATCATTGAAATGGTAAATTTTTATATGCAGTGTGGTGATTATCAAACTTAAAAAAACATAATAAATAGATATGAAGTGTGTAAATATATTTTTGCCAGCATTTAAAAAGTTTTACCATTTTCTTTGAAGTTTAATTGCTTGACCCATCTTTTTCTTTTTTTTCAACTTCTGTATAAATGTTTCATTCATTGATCTTTACTTTTCTCAATAAAAGCTTTGCCTAGTGATTTTTTTGGTAGTAAATTTTTTGTTTGAATTTTGATTGATGTTCGCAGATTGTTTTGATAACAGAAAAGTTTCATAAGAAGATGTTTGCTAGTTATAAATATGCTAATATATACTCCCTTCGTCCCATATTTATATATCCATTTGCTTTATGCACGGAGTTTTATAAATATTAGTATTATATTGGGATAATGTAGAAATAAAAGTAAAAAGACTAAATTAATCTTATTAGTATTGTATAATATAAATGTAATGATATTTGTGTAATATATTTTAAATTGAAAGGTTATTTATAATGTAAGGTAGACAGTACAATTATTAAAAAAAGGAAATGAATATTTTGTTATGGGACGGATCAAAACGGAAAAATGAATAGATTGTTAAGGGACGAATGAAGTATATAAATATACGTTAATCACCTCTATAGCACATGTTGATCCGGTTAAATAAGTATCATACTGACTTGACCTATCAACAATTGGTCCATGCCTATTAAAATACTCTCTATTCCCACTTACCGTGTAAATTTTTGTTTATTTTACTTATTGTCATTTTTTTTTTAAAAAAAATTAATTATACATTTTAATTATATTTAAATTTATAATTTTTTAATATTAATTAGACTAACAAGTTATTTTATTATTAATCTAAAATTATTTTTATTATACGATAATTATCTACTAATTATATCTCTTCTGAATTCTTGTGTATAGAGTAAAATGACACTCTAATCGGGCTGAAGAGAATACTATTTTTTTAAATCTACTAGAAAAAAAGTAATAATTATTAGAAGTAAATTCGAGTGGAACTAAGTGAAGTGGGTAATAAAACTTTAGCTTACGGAGCAACGAATTAGTCGATCAAAGTTAATTTAAAACGTGTTCGTAAGTAATGACAACGTACGGACGGTCGAATTGAGCAGACACTCTTGAATGAGTCATGATTGACTCAGTCCGAAGTCAATCTACTTGTTCGATCGATCAGACCGACCTTTCTAATAAAACTTCAATTTTTATTATCATTATTAAATCATAACTAGAACTGGAAAAATTCCCTTACAAATATATTTAATTACTAATTATTTAAACAGGACATATCGAAGACGACGAAGTATCTATTACTACTGATTGGTTGTCTCCAGAAAGACATGATAATTGGTTGGGCGAGTGTGGTGGTTTCAGCGGGGATTCTTCTTGTCCTTGTCTTGCTTCTAATTCTGATAAAGTTGAAAAGATTCTTCCAAGATTCGGAAATCGCCATTGCATATACAGAAACAGCAGATGAAGGTCAGACTCAGGGTTTGAAGGAAGATGGTGACTGATGAGCTGTCCTTGTCTACAAGTCGGCGTCGTCGGCTCGCCGCAAACAGAGCCAGCTTCTCCAGAATGACTAATTTATTGGACCTTTGGGGCTTCCTATAGTCAGCCGTTTCCTCCAGCTGGCACGCCGCCCCAAGCCGCCGGTTTTCTTCCGAAGTTCCGATCATTACAATTCTGAGCTGTAGTGTGTATATATATATTCTTCCGTTTCATATTTATATATCTATTTATTTTTTACAAGTTATTTTAAAAATATTAGTATTATATTAGAATAAAGTAAAAATAAAGGTAAAAAATTAGATTAACCATTTTTATTATTGTATGACATAAAAGTAATGATATTTATGTAATATATTGTAATTGGAAGGGTATTTGTAATGTTAGATAGAAAACAGAAAAAATAAATATATTGTCAAGGGACGCAGAAAGTAAAATTATTCTTTAGTGTACTTGTATAAGGAGATGGACGGTCACAATTTGCTCTTCCAATTACTATAAATAAAAATTTATAAATATATACGTAGATATAAAATAAATTTATATCAAATTATATAAAGTAATACACATTTATATTATTATACTCCATCCGTCCAGCTACAAAGTATACATATTTTTATTTTGGAACGTCCAATTACAAAGTAGTAACTATTTCATTAAATACCCCACATTTTTTTCACAAATATCCTTACTTTACATCACATCATTACTTTTATACTAAAAAGTTAGGGCAAAAATTTCATTACACTATTTTCACCTACAAACTATAATTAAAATACTATTATTTCTTAAATTCCGCGCCTAAAGTAAATGTATACTTATTGTTTGGACGGAGGGAGTATTAATTACCATCAAATCAATACACATAAAAACTCTTCAAACCCAACCCAAATCCAAACACAAAAGAAACACATAAATTCAAACTCACTTCAAAATTCAAATAAGACTCAAACCTAAATCCAAAATTTCACAAAACCCCGTAAAGAAACATACTTATTATTATTTTAAAAATATTAAATAAAATACTTATTTTTTTATTTTTATTATATTGAAAATTAAATTTAAATCAAAATTATCTCTCAATATTTATTTGTATCACATTATACCATTATTCTAATTCAATTTTTTTACTATTTAAATTTTAATTCAAACATTCAAACTCCCAAACAAGCACACCCTTTTTTACACCACAAATCTCATATTTTTACTATTTGAAATTTTTTTTTTTTAAAACAAATAACACCTTATCATATATTATTTTAATACCAAATCAGATTAAAATTTATCGAACTCATAAAAAAAAAAACACACCCTATATAATTGTCTGACTATAAAAATAGGGTGATTTTTTTTTTTACAAACTTTAATTTTAATTTTTCATTTAAATAATATTTAATATAATACTCCTTCCGTTCTGGCAGATATTACTCATTTTTCTTTTTTATACATCATATAAAAGATGATTCATTTTTTTATAAGACTATCGATATTAAACATTGTTAACAAATATAAATTAATTTAATTAAACTTCTAACATCTTACACATAAGACGTACTTCAAATCCATATATTTCTATCTCTTTTTAATTAACAAATATTTTTATTTATTTTAAAACTCATTATTTTTTATAAAATTAATTTATGATAATAATAAATAACTAAATGTATTTTTTATATTCATTTGTATTATATAAAGATTTATTGTCTAATGATATCTATATTGCACATATTTTGTAGAAATATAATTTCAAAAATATTTAAAATACCAATACCACTACTCATATAAAATATAATAAAATATTATCATAATATATGTTATCTAAAATATTGTGTCCGAAGCAAAAGGTTCATCCCTCGTGAGAACGAGGGAGTCTTTTATAAAAAATAATAATAAAAAATTAAATAAAAGTTTAAAAGGCACTCTATTAGTTACTGTTTGCTTATGTTTTGAGACACGCATTTTTAAAGTAAATTTTTTTAATTATAATTATTAAAGTTAAGGAATTGGACAGGTGGGAAGGCTACTGGTGTTGAATTTCCTGTAAAGATAAGGAAGCTTGATAGGAAGGCCCAATTTAACAATAATGGGCCGAAATGGAATTTAAAAGCCCAAAATAATCGATACGGTCTGACAATCTAGCTTCCGGATTAGCATTAGTACATTCTTATGACCTAAACAATTCTAAATACAATTACAATAATTAATTATGATTATTGTAATAAATGTTATTACCCTTTTACAGACACAGTAAATATAACTCCTTTATGAGTATTGAATCAGGACCTCTCCCCCTCCCATGGTGCCAAAATAAATAAGTAATAATAATATGATCCACAGCTAATTAGTATTTAGAAACAAAATTTCCAGAAATGATAGAGAAGATTTTCATCGTTTTGCTGATAGTTTGTCCCGGAATTCTGATGATTCTCCTCCTGCTTATAGTTTTCCGGCGGCTCTTCTTACGGAGCGGCGGCGGCGCCGATAGACCTCCCGCCGCCGGAAGATTCGAGACTCTGTCGAGTGGGATCGCGAGGCTTCATCAGGTGATTCCTCAGAATGATCGGAATCTCCACAATTTGCAGAAAAAAAGCTTTGATCGGAGTTCATTCAGATGGGCTGATCATCCTTCTCTAGTAACCGACGCGGTGGAGAACGGATGGCCACGATTTGCTTTCACTACGTCAGTTACTTTTCCTGCTAAATCCGGGCCGTCCATTCTAGGGTTTCGTGGGAACGACGATAGGGTCGAAATTGGGTGGGAGATCTGCCATGGATCAAGCGATTATCTGCAAAAAATCAGGTTCAATCCAGGGATGAAGAATCCGGTCGCCGGCTCTGGCGCCGGCGCCGGTCATTATGCAATTAGGGCAGCTCTTCCGCTGCCAGGCCCGCCATTGGAGAATTTAGGGTTTCCGCAGGAAGCTTATTTTGAGATCACAATCCTCCCGGGCGGCGAAATCGATTTACAATCGGAAACAGATACGATCAAGCTAATCCAGGATGAACAAAATCCCGACGCCGTCGTAAGTCATGGCGGCGGCGGCGGCCATTGCTATAGGAGGAGCAACGTGGAAGAAGCACTGAGAAATGAAGATAATTTTCTGTCAGTTGGTTTGACGGCCGGAGGGCCTTTTCCGATGAAACTTCCGGGAAGTTTTCCGGGATCTATTGGATTCAACTCCGGTGGCTCAGTCTATCTTGAAGGTAACAATTTTCTTCAATTTCTACTTACTTATTTGGTGAATCCATTAATTATATTGACATTAAATCTATTGCTAGATTTCGTGAACTTTTATGGGGAATGACCAAATATATGAACACAAACATGCAATCATCACTGAATAATTATGCAATCATCTTTAAAGGTTTCATATTTGTTAAATTTGATGGTAAAAACTTTCTTATTAAATTTAAAGTTTAAGGAATTTATTGTCGGTTTGATCTAACGAGTATCAAGAGGATTTTGATTGTTTTAGATTAGAAGTTTAGCGGGTTTTTTGTCAGTTTGATCTAACAAGTTTCAAGAGGATTTTGATCGTATTAAATCAGAAGTTTAACGATTTTTTTGTCGATTTGATCTAACGAGTTTCAAGAAGATTTTGATCTTATTAAATTAGAAGTTTAACGAATTTTTTGTCGGTTTGATTTAACGAGTTTAAAGAGAATTTTGATTGTATTAAATTAGAAGTTTAACGAATTTTTTGTCGGCTTGATCTAATGAGTTTCAAGAGGATTTTGATAGTATTAAATTAGAAGTTTAACTAATTTTTTTCGGGAGTTCCAAAAGGATTTAGATCATATTAGATTCGAAGTTCAATGGTTTTTTTGTCTATCGGCTTGATTTAACAAATTTCAAAAAGATTTTGATCGTATGAAATTATAAGTTTAACAACTTTTTTTTGTTTGCTTGATCTAATGAATTTCACGAGAATTTTGATCATACTAAAGTAGAAGTTTCAAAAAATTTTGTCGGCTTGATATATAATAAATTTCAAGATTTCGATTATATAAATATCAACTAGATCGATCCTTCAAATTTTAGAATACATTCTTTTGAAGTTTTAATTTGGTTGCCCGACTATGATGCTTTAATGTTGTTTTGAACCTTTTGGTGTAACATTATTAATTATTTTTTTTAATTTTAATATAAAAACGAACATATATTTAATACTCCATATTAAATTTACAAATATTTTTTCATATTAAATACTATTTCATTTTAAATTAATTTCTTCTATTTTCAAATCCAAACCTCAAGCAAGGTAAAAATCTTTCTTTAAGTAAAATCCTTTTATCCATTTATTGTTTCATAAATTTCATATTGTTTATAAGTTGTTTGATGTGATCAATTTGATTAATTAAGTAATATACATATACATATTCATTGTTTTGTATTTTTAGTTTAATACTTCGTCCGTTCTCTTTCTCAGTTATATATTTTGTTATTTTTTTTTTTTTAAAATTATACACTTTAATTATAATTTAAATTTTAATTATATGGTACAATCAAATTGTTTGACATTTTTAATAGATATAATATATACATATATTATAGGAGTATATATTTGTGCGATTATCTACATATTATATTTTTTATATTAGTAATAAAAAATATATTGAAAATATTTTGTTGAAACAACACATTTATTTTTTGTCAGTTTTTTTTTTTTCAATTTTAATTTAATACTATTATTAATTGTTAATTAAACTTGATGGGGGCAAAATGGTGATTGCATACATGCAGGCAAAAAGCTGGTGCCGGAGTCGGAGGACCGTGAATGGCGGAAATCCGGCGCGAAGGTGATCGGCTGCGGCTACAATCCCAGCCGGAAAACCGTTTTCTTCACGGTGGATTCACAGCTGGCGCACATCATCAACTGCCGGAGCGACGCCTTCGGTTCTCCGCTCTATCCGACGCTCGGCGCCGGCGCCGGCGCCGACGTAACCGTCGTCGTCAATCTCGGCCAAACCGCCTTCGAATTTTCTCCGGCCAATTCCCGGCGAACGCCGAATCCGTGCTTCTCGGAGCCGACGACCGGCTCGGGCTTGAGCTACGAAGACAGCAAGGAGCTATTTTCCATGGGAAGAATCGACTCGCAGTGGCGGATGCGGAACAGGAGCAATGGAAACACAGTGATGAACGGCGCCGGCAGAATCAAGTCCGACGGAGAAGAAGATGTTGACGACGAAGATCTCTTCGAAATTGCTTTGGACATGTCAGCTTTGAAAAGTTCGGCCCATTAGGGTATGGATCGTAGGCCCAAACTGTTGGGCTGTAGAATTTATACTATGGATCATTTATTTTGTTATATCCACCAAACTCTGATAAATTAAATTAAATTAAATTAGAATTATAAACCAACATGAAATTATATGCTTGCCATTTCTTCTTACATTTTTTTTTTTTTTTTTGGGGTTATAAATGTGAAGAGCTGTTAAATAAATCAAAAAGTTCATGAATTTGACTCGATTTAAACTTGTTCTAAAAGAGTTGAGCTGAATAAAATAAATAAGCTCGTTTTCTTAATGAACGAGAACGATACTGAGTATTATTTGCAAACGTTCGTTATAATAATATATTTATACGATACTGAGTATTATTTGCAAACGTTCGTAATAATAATATATTTATAATATATATATATGGTATATATATTATTTGTGAAATTAGCAATGAGTTGTGATTGTATAATTTTCTTGGGTAAAAAAGGGATGGGTGGGCTTTGTTGTCATTTTCAGACAAGTCAAATGTTGCTAAAATAAATTTCCTCAAATGGGCCATTAGAAGAAGTGTCTCTCTTGACTTTGCTGGCTGTTGCTCCAAATCAATTGCAGACAAATAAATTAATCTACAGACATTTCATTTTCATTAGCTTGCCCCCCATGGGTTACATTAGGGCTTGGTCACCACATAAAAAGTTATTATTATTATTATTATTTTACAAAATTTATCAGTTTTTTTATTTCCATTAGATAGATGCTTTTGAAATTTTAAATATTCTTGAATTTTATTTTTATTTTTATTTATTTTTTTTACAAATGTGGCATTTGATAATGTGTTTTGTAAGTGCAATTTGATATTTAATGTGATATTACATTAAAAAAAAAATTTGTTTTGATACATTTTTTTAAAAATTATACAATTATACACAGTCAAAACTTTTAAAAACTGTATGTGCAAGTAAACATTTATATGTGTATGTGAAGCATAAGCATTGGGCTATTCAATTGTATGTATAAGGTGGTGCCATTTTAGGTTTTCAAGATATAACCTTATCACTAATAAGGTTCAAAAGATCTTGATAATGAACAAAGACTATGTTTTGTTGATTATTGTTATTATTATTATTATTTAGGAGAGAGCAAAAGGGCCAAAAGGGATCATCAAATAATTACAAATCCCTCTTGAATAAAAATCACATCTTTTTCCCACTTTTTGGTAGCACAGAAACAATAATAAGGACCAATTAGTTAATTAGCCATATATATGTCCAACAAATTAAAAGTAATGTTGTGGGGCTAATGCATTTAGAGAGTGAAGCAAATTGAAGACACATAGTGTGCACAAATTCAAGATGAGAAAGAAAGATTAAGAATTAATAATGGTAGGAAAGAAAGGCATGTGAAGCAAAGAGGCACATGGATAGAGAAGCATATAATAGAGTTGAGATTTTTAGGCAAGGTATAAAGCAAGACTGACCTCTCTCTCTCTCTCTCTCTCTCTCTATATATATATATATAAATACAGAAAAAGATGTATGGGATGGTGGTGTAATTAGTTGTTGGAAGAATTTGAAGTCCCGTCATCATGTGGGCTGTCCTTAATGCTCTATATAATCAGAATGTTTTAATTTGCTGGCTGTCAGTAATATTAATCTTCTTTATCACTCACTCACACACACACACACATATATATATATATATAATATGCAAACATGGTGAGAAATGACCTAAAGCTGTAAACATCTCATCTGCCAACTATGCCAAATATCATCTATGTGACTATGTACATATTATATATTATATTATTATATATATGTTTGATACTTGTATTGCAAAATACACATGTATAAGGTTTAAAAGGTTAGGTTGTGAAACCGAAAGTTTGGGACATTGGGATCATTATATATATTTATATATATCTATAGATTCCTGTGAGTGAGTCAGTCAGACCCTAAAATTCTTACTTGGGACTGAAGCTGTCAGATTCTTGAGAGAGATGATCATCATCAGCAGCAGAGGTTTTTCTGGTGAGGGTTTTTAGCACTCACTGCACCATCTCTATTGTTTCCTTAACTTACAGTTCATCTTTCTGAACTTATCCCACCATCACCAAGCCACCAAATAAATCAAATTACATATATATATATATATATACATATATTGGGTGATGAAGTGTGTTGGTTGGGCAGTCATTTTTGGTACATAATCAACTGTAGAGCATTGGGTATTGATTGAATAATACAGCTTATTGATTAAATTAAATTAAATTGGATCCCACCATTGGGAAGCTAAGGAAAAGTTGACTTGGATTTAGCAACCCTTATTGCAGTAGTCATCATCTAAGATTATAATTTGTGGGACTTGCTATAAAGTATTTTTAATGATTTTATATAATATTATCATACAGTATTGAAAGAAGCCAATTCAATTTAATTTCTTATATCAGACTTGTATTTTTGTCCTCAATACATATACACTGGAAAATTTGTGAGCATTTTGTCCTCAATACACACACATTGAAAAGACTTTTTGTGATGATGGACCACAGACCATATATACCATTTAATATACACTCAGAAAAGTTTTTAATCTTCAATCAACATTGCTGCTCATGTGGACCAGACCAGACCAGCTTCTCTGTAATTAAGCGCCATTAGTATGTAATAATCATCATATAATTTTAATTTTCTTCAAGCAGTGTTTCTTGATCAGTGATCACTACGATTAATTATATATATATATCAAGATGAACCCTAATTAACATCTGTTGAATACAACCTAATCCTGCAATCTTCCCATTGTCCTAATATATATATATATATATATGGTTTGTGTATAATTAATTATAAGTGAAAGACTTGATTTTTATTCTATTTTATTTTATTTTTTGCCTAATTATTAAAATGGTTGTGAGTGCAATAGAGATTCTGTCATTTGTGTTGGAAAAGTGAGAAGGAAGGTATATATGCCCACACATGCACAAAAGCAGACAAAAGTGGGATTATATGGCTAACCCCATGTGACATGATATTGAGAATTATATATATATATATGTATGTATATATATTGAAGCTGCTGAGTGGGAGACATTGCAGCCAGCTGTCTGGCAGCATGCTTGCCTTGATCATCTCTTTCAAAAGTCTCTCAGATCACAACAAATTAAGAAATATAAAAATAATCTTTATCCCAACAATAATAGTAATAATTCAAGACTTGTGTTTAATTCATTCACTCTCTCACAATGATTGTACTAAGCCAACCCCAATTATTTCATACATCTTCCTTCTTCCCCCTCGATCAGAATATGGATATTACAGTGCATATACATACATATATATATATGTATAATATACATACAACGTTGGCGTTTGCATGCGTATACATTGGGATTCCATACATCACGTGGCATCGCGCTGTTTTATACGACTTTCTATACGTACAATTATACAACCTGTACTGTGTTTCGCATTTCTGATTAATTGAGATATCTTGAATAATCGAATTAATCCTAATTGTATAATTAATTGATTATATTAATTATCTTTCGAAAGCAACTGGCCTGGATGGTTTCTAAGTCAATCCTTATTTCCCGAAAGGATTTAATTAATATGAGGGTTTGCTTGGCTTAGATTAGATGGGATGATCCAAAGAAACAAACTTTGTCCTAAAATTAGATTTAAGTATAGTTAAGATCAGCATCCTGAATGCGAAGTTTTATCTAACATCCAAAGAAGGGCACTTGACCCAAAATGAGGGAAGAAGTAAGATTATATATATATATATATATATAATATTGTATAGGTTAGATGGATCATATGAAGAAGTATAATTGAAGTCTTTAACTGCCCCAAGTGTCTGCCTAACAGAACAGTCTCTGAGGTTGTCACTGTGTGTGTAGGGCTAGCTTTAGCTTAGTAGTGTGGCTCGATTGGCTAGCTACTAACCGGTTGGCATGCCATAACTTAACTCCATTGGTGGGAAATTAAGAAATCAGGGATTTACGCGTACACCCACTCCCACCCCACCCCACCCCACCCCACCCCAACCCAAGAATATATACAGACTACAAGGGTAGGAGCCTTTCTACTTCTTTTGCCCTCAACTCAACTGCTCCTCTCTCTCTCTCTATTTTTCTCTGGAACGTTTCAGTGTTAATCTTTAAGTCCATTTTTGTTGTTGAGACACATTTGGGGGAGTAGTGATTCAAGTGAGGTGGATGGTCGCCATGGAAGCTAATCCTTCTGGGGAGGATTGCTGTGTGAAAGTAGCTGTTCACATTAGGCCTCTGATAAGCGACGAGAAGCTTCAAGGGTGTAAAGACTGTGTCACTGTAGTGCCTGGGAAGCCTCAGGTATGGTTTCAACCTTATCTGGGAGGGCCATTTTTATGAGAAGTAAATGCCCTTTTGGTTAAAGATCTGGTGTTTATTTAGTGATGCAATGTAATCAAGATTTGGATTCTGATTTTTTTGGTAGCAAATGTGTCATTTCAGCTGTTCTAATGATTCTTTTGAATACTGGAAGAAATTGGATAATACTTTTAACAAGTTCTTGAATTTGGGATTGATTGGAAACTTTTATTGCATAATTTGCTTCTGTCTTTTCATTCTTGATTAATTCACATAGCAATTTTGAGCTCTGTATGATCAATGGAACTTGTGACAAACCACTCATATTAATTGATGATGATGAGTGTGGCTGCTTTACAGGTGCAAATTGGTACACATTCATTCACATTCGATCATGTCTACGGCAATGCCGGCTCTGCATCGACTGCGATGTACGAGGAATGTGTTGCACCTCTGGTCGACGGATTGTTTCAAGGATATAATGCTACTGTTCTTGCGTATGGTCAGGTAATTGTTGTTTTAAGCCCTTGATTATATGCTGTCCATGGCTGGAACTAATTGCCTGATGTGTTGTCGTGGCGCGGCGCAGACGGGGTCGGGGAAGACATACACCATGGGGACTAACCTCAAAGATGGATACGAAACAGGACTAATTCCAAAAGTTATGAATGCTCTGTTCTGCAAGATCGAAACTTTGAAGCATGAAATCGAGTTTCAACTACACGTCTCCTTCATCGAGGTTTGTTAAATTTAACAGTATCCTTATATTGTTTATTTGCAGCATTGTCTCATGTTTAGGTATTTGGTTGAAGATTCATAAGGAGGAAGTAAGGGACTTGCTCGACTCTGCGCTGGCAAACAAGCAAGAAGTAAATGGACAATCCGGAAAAGTGGCTATTCCCGGGAGAGCTCCAATTCAGATTCGTGAAACATCCAACGGCGTCATTACACTTGCTGGAACAACAGAGTGTAGTGTCAAGACACTCAAAGAAATGTCGGATTGTTTAGAGCAAGGATCGCTGAGCCGAGCAACTGGAAGTACTAATATGAACAATCAGTCTAGGTAGATGAAGCTAGTGTTTCTATTGCCAAGAAATATCGATCGTTTTGAACTTAGCTATATTTCTTGAAATTTCGATTCTAAGTATCTTCCTCTGGTCCCTGTGACGCAGCCGGTCTCATGCTATCTTCACCATAACTATCGAGCAAATGCGCAAGCTTCATCCTGACATTTCGGGCGATGGGAATCTGAATGACTGCATGACTGAAGAATACCTCTGTGCCAAATTGCATTTGGTAGATCTTGCAGGATCGGAGCGTGCGAAAAGAACCGGCTCTGACGGTCTACGATTTAAGGAAGGTTAGCTTTTCAAGACAACGCCCGGTTGCAGAAATGGTTGCTTCATTTTTGTACACTACCATGATTAAGTTCTTGCGCAGGAGTTCACATTAATAAAGGACTTCTTGCACTTGGCAATGTCATAAGTGCGCTCGGTGATGAGAAAAAACGAAAAGAAGGTGTCCATGTGCCGTATAGGGATAGTAAACTCACTCGGCTATTGCAGGATTCACTCGGGGGCAACAGCAGGACAGTAATGATCGGTAAGTGATCTGTAAATCCGCGTTCTTGAGTATCTTCAACGTTGATTTTTTACAAAAAAATCAATGTGGAATCTTCAGCTTGCATAAGTCCAGCTGACATAAATGCCGAAGAAACTCTCAACACACTGAAGTATGCTAACCGCGCCCGTAATATCCAGAACAAACCCGTTGTAAGTTCAAAATTTTTTTTAGTCTCACTTTCTCCTACCTCAAGATGGAGATTCAGACATTGTTTGTATACTTGATGATGAACAGATTAATAGAGATCCAATGTCGAATGAGATGGTGAAGATGCGGCAACAGTTGGAGTATCTTCAAGCAGAACTTTGTGCTCGCAATGGCGTTTCGTTTGATCAAATGCAGGTAAGTGCAAACATTTTATATCCAAAAAGGAAGCTCGGATAAGAATTTTTTAACCACGGTGAATGCGTGCAGGCGCTCAAGGATAGGATTGCGTGGCTTGAGGCCACGAACGAGGAGTTATCTCGAGAACTTAACGAGTGCCACAACAGAGGTGGTGTTGCTAAGCAAGATGAAGTTGAAGCTAAGGTATTTGATTCTTTTAGCCGCCATTTTCGTGTGTAAATGGAGATTTAACAAGTGCTGCGTCGTTGCAGGCTAATGGAAACGGTGTTGTGAAAAGTGAAGGTCTCAAAAGGGCATTGCAAAGTATGGAATCATCGGACTATCAAATGAGCGATTGCAGTACGTCTCTCTGTTTCTCAAACTGGCTTCGCATTCGAATACAATGTCTTAAAGGTCGATGAACTTAAGGATGAACTTAAAAAGACACAAAATTGATTGCATTAGACTTAATCCCACAGGACTGACATAGATGTTAGGAGAAACTGCTTGTAGATCGATTTTAAATGGCAGCATTTTCAGGCGAGGCTGGAGATATCGATGAAGATACTGCGAAAGAATTGGAACACAACTATTTGCAGAGCACCATGGATAAGGAATTGAATGAGCTGAATCGACAGTTGGAGCAGAAAGAGGTAATCTAAATATTCCATGAAATGCATTGTTTGGAGTTAAGGAGACAATGCAGTCTTTTAGAAAAAACCTACATTTTGCAGTCACAAATGAAGCTTTTCGGAGGATATGACACCACAGCATTGAAGCAACATTTCGGAAAGAAAATTATGGAACTTGAGGAGGAGAAGAAGACAGTGCAGGTATAAAACAATGGGAAATAACATCAATTCGAAAATATCATCACATTTTACTTAACTTTTAATTTCCTGTTCAATGGATCCAGCACGAGAGGGATCGACTGTTGACAGAAGTCGAGAACCTGTCTGCTAATTCCGACGGGCAGGCACAGAAGCTGCAAGACATCCATGCCCAGAAACTCAAAACACTCGAAGCTCAGGTTTGATCATTCTGCCATTGTTGAATTACCTTCGTCGGTATCTCTTGATGCTCAATGATTTTCCCATTTGTATGTATCAGATACAAGACCTGAAGAAGAAGCAGGAGAATCAAGTTCAACTTTTGAAGCAGAAGCAGAAGAGCGATGAAGCAGCTCGAAAGTTGCAAGAGGAAATGCAATGCATCAAGGCACAAAAGGTCATATCTTGTTTTCAATTTTACTATCTACAAAACGACAATCTCTGACATTATTCCGTGCTGTAGGTTCATTTGCAACACAAGATAAAACAAGAAGCTGAACAATTCAGGCAGTGGAAGTCGTCCCGAGAAAAGGAATTACTACAGGTGATTTTATTGCAACTTCATGGCTGTTCTATAATGAAATAAATTTTACTTAACTCTGCAACTTCAATGGATTTTTGTGTATCTACAGTTAAGAAAAGAGGGGAGGAGAAATGAGTATGAGAGACATAAATTACAAGCAATGAATCAGCGCCAGAAAATGGTATCTTCCTGTTCCTTAGAATCGATCAATCCACAGTTTGATGGCTTATTTATATGCAAAAGATCGACGAATTCCCTCGTGTTTCGATTACAGGTTCTCCAGAGAAAGACTGAGGAAGCTGCTATGGCTACAAAGAGATTGAAAGAGTTGCTAGAAGCACGCAAATCTTCGACTCGCGAAAACTCTGGTAACAAAATATTAATTCATTTGAGCCCTTTACTACAAAATATTTGTATGATTCTTCAAGTTACTGTTTCTTTTTACGTATCAGGAAATAGCAATGGAAATGCAGCAATGAATGGCCAGGTAATACATTTCTCATCTCTTTCCTTCGAGCCTATTTTACACAATACATATGAACCTAAATCTTACTTTCAGAGTAATGAAAAGTCCTTGAATCGTTGGATCGATCACGAGCTAGAAGTGATGGTGAACGTACATGAAGTTCGTTATGAGTATGAAAAGCAAACTCAAGTGTATGTAGCATCCAATCTTTTTTTTTTTTCTTCACTTGTTAGTATTTCCATGTAATTTTCGTTGACTGGTTTTCGGATCATCGCCAGGCGAGCTGCATTGGCAGAAGAGTTGGCTGTTCTACGACAGGTCGACGAATTTGCTTCCAAAGGTGTTACCCCTCCCAGAGGAAAAAATGGAGTTTCCAGGTAAGTTCCTGAAACCTTTATCCATTGAATTGCCATAAGCTTTAAGCCTCCATTGATTCAATTTCTATCTCATCAGGGCATCTTCGATGTCACCAGCAGCAAGAATGTCGAGAATCGCCACTCTTGAAAGCATGCTGAGCATTTCATCAAATTCACTGGTTGCAATGGCTTCCCAGCTTTCAGAAGCTGAAGAACGCGAGCGAGGCATCAGCAGTCGCGGCCGGTGGAACCAGCTTCGATCCATGGGGGATGCCAAAAGCTTGCTTCAATACATGTTTAATTATCTTGGCGATGCAAGGTAATCGAAATGAGCTAATCTAGAGCTTCCGAAGCTTTTTTATACAGTTCTGATACATGCCATCGACAGGTGTGAATTGTGGGTGAAGGAGGCCGAAATCAAGGAGATGAAGGAGCAGATGAAGGAACTCGTTGGATTGTTACGACAAAGCGAACACAGAAGAAAGGACGTCGAGAAAGAGCTGAAATCAAGAGATGTCGGATTAGCTACACCGCCACCTTCTGTATGATTTTCCTTAATTTAATCGTATACGACTTCTCTATTCGACATCCTTGTATCATTACACTCTTCTTGTTTCAGGCAAACTCCCAGAAACAGATTGACGACGACATGAACACTCCATTGTCTCCGATTCCAGTGCCAGCACCGAAACAGCTCAAATACACTGCAGGAATCGCCAACACCTCAGTCAGAGAGTCGGCGGCATTCATGGATCAAAAACGAAAGGTTCAGACATATCCCATCCTTTATTATGTCCATGGCTACTCTGTAATAATAATGCCTGGTTTCTCTTACAACGAATATGCTCGACCGAATGCAGATGGTGCCCATTGGTCAGGTTTCGGCGAAGAAACTAGCACTCGCCGGAAATGGTGGTGCGAAGCTGTGGAGATGGAAGAGAAGCCATCATCAATGGCTGCTGCAGTTCAAATGGAAGTGGCAAAAGCCTTGGAGACTATCCGAGTTGATTAAACACAGCGACGAAACGATGATGAAATCCAGACATCGTCCGCAAGCTCCTCCTGTACTAATGTATAGAAACGGTCACTAAATTATACACATATGATATATACATACTACAACCTAGTGCAGGTAACTCCATTGTTTTTCTTAACCGAAAGCTCCTCACCACCGCGACATTACTCGATATTCATTCGACGGATAAAGCGCACGCTTGCAGTGGGATTTTATATATAAACCACAGCTGCTGTGTGTCGAGTTTTTCTTTCTTGACGAGTGTTTTCTTCTTGTAAAGCTACTGTATATTGTCTAGATTCTGTAGGATTGATTTGTGATTTGCTTGTCTTTGTGAATTTTAATGTATCATGATTCTGGTGGGAAAATTCTTTGTTTGGATTGGATTGTATTTTACAAAAAGGTAATTCACTGCTTCAATGGAGGAAAAATGAAATTTTTTCATTGTACATTAGGGTTGAATTCATCATCCTCCATAGACACAACTTGTTTGATCTCCTGTATCATCTTCAACACTTGCCACATCGTCGGCCGCTGCTCAGGGGAGGCGATCCGGCAAGCCATTCCAACATCTAGCAGCATTTCCAGCCTCGTCTCTTCCTTGTCGTCGTCCCTCAAAGACCTCATCCATCGAATCATGTCGTCAAGATTTAGATTTGGATTCGGGTGCTGCGAAGGATGCTTCCCCGTCAAAAGCTCGAGCAAAAGCACCCCAAACGAGTATACATCCGACTTAGACGTTGCTTCTTGGTGGCTGAATTTAAGAATTTCAGGCGATTTGTAGGCTGCTGAGTCGGCATCTTCCTCGGAAGGCGGCGCGGTGGATAAAGCTGCGAGGCAGTAGTCTGTTAAACAGGCTTCGAATTCGGAGCCGAGCAGGACATTCGATGACTTTAGATTGCCATGGACGAGCCTCCAGGCCTGGTGGATGAAACAGAGCCCTTGTGCTACATCTTCTGCAATTTTTAAACACGATGTCCAGTGAAGTGGCCTTGCTTTGGCTGACTTAGAACCTGCACAGATCGATCGATCTTGATCAGTTGGTTGCCAAGAAATGAAAAATGGTGAAGAGAGAAGCTTCTTTCTAACCATGGATGAGGGAAAGAAGACTGCCATTGGGCTGATAATCATAGACCAGAAGCCTTTCTTCCTTTGCCTGAAAATATGCTCTGAGAGGGACCAAATTTGGGTGTCTCAATCCTCCAACTGATTCCATATGCCCTTCGAAAATTTCTTGGCTTGTGTTGCTCAATCTCCCGCCGTCCAATCTTTTGACCGTTACAATCAAACGGCTGTCGAGAACCGCTTTGTATGTCGTCCCCATCGTCCCTCTTCCTAATAGCTCTGCGGAAGCTCTCATTAGCTGGTCCATGGTGTACACCGGCGGCTCGCCGGCGCAGAATACCAGGTTGCCGCTCTTCCCCACCATTTGCAGCTTTTCTTCCTGCACTTGCTTCACCTTCTCCTCCAATTCGTCGTTTTCTTCCTCGATTCTCATCACGGCGGCCTCTGTATTCCCCGTCACGCTCGGGTCCAGCCCCATTTTTGTAACCTCGCCTCGCCGGCGCTTCTTCGCCGCCAATATGAAGCATAAAAGTGCAACGACGAGAAGAGACGCGCCGGCGGAGAATCCAATCGCCAAAGCAGTTCTCTTGTGCTTCTGCACTGTTCCGTCGCCGTTTAATTCGACTCCGCCGTGTACCGGAGCGGTTTGGCCGAGCGCCGGCGGCGCTCGAGCGGTCGAAGTTTGGCTGAAAAACGGCCGGTCGGAATGGCATTCTGTGTGTACAATCTCACCGCAAAGCCCTGGATTCAAAGCAAATGATGATAAGTTGAATCGGGAGAGCGCCGGAGTGACCGGAATTGCGCCGGTGAGGGCATTGTGGGAGACGTTGAAGACCTCCAGCGACGACTGGTTCAACGCCGGCACCGAACCGTTGAGCCGGTTGAAGTCGAGCCGGAGGTAGACCAGCCGGTCCAACCCGTTCAAAGCAGCGGGAATCGAACCGGCAAGCATGTTTCTAGAAAGATCGAGGGTTTTCAGACGATGTAGCGCGGCGACCGACGGCGGGACGCCGCCGGAGAAATAATTCCGGGAGAGAAAAAGAGCCTTCAAATCAGTCAAACCTGAAAGATCAGGGATCGGACCAGTGAGCGAGTTGTTCTGCAGACTAAGAACCCTAAGCTGCCGGAGCCGCGTCAGAGTGTCGGCGGCGAAAACTCCGGCGAGATCCATACTTTCTATAACAACTTTAACCGCCCTGTAGCCGGAGCAGCTGACCCCTTCCCATTTGCAGAAGGCGAAGGAGGAGCCATTTTTAGAAGAAAACCTCAATTTGTTCCCCAAATCAGCCTTCGACTTGAAATCCAGCAGCGCCGACGCATCCGCCGCCGCCGCCGGCGAACTCGAAGAAAAGGCAAGGACGAAGAAGCAACAAAACGACGCAGAAGTAAAAACAAGCACATTGTACACAAAAAGATAACCGCCTCTCCTCCTCACCATTTTCGTGCACTGTAACAAACGCAGTGAAATATTGTAAGGAAGATGAGGAGGTAGGAAGTAATTGCTCTAGCTGCAGAGCAGGGGCCCCTCTGTCTGTTTGGAATCTTTTGGTGCAGTAAAGTAAAGGTACAGCCCCAACGTCGACAGGACAGGGACGATGTCTGGTCCAGAGTGTAAAAATTAAACTACAATGAGGAAGGGGATGCAGAGTGCGTCAGGAACCATGTGAAGGAGAAGAGAGGTGAGGAAGGGCAAATTGGGGGAATTTCAATGCTGCCTCCATTTCTCTATGGAAATCCGTATCTATTTTATGTATGGATTTGTGGATTGATTCCATTTTTAATTATGTTTTCAAATGCCTATTACAGTTCAAATTCCACGTTTACCAGCCAAAATATACAATTATCAATTTTTTTTAAAAAAATATTATATTACTATTTCAATAAAAAAATAATTTATTATTCAAATTTTAATTCAAATTACAAACAAATAAATTTCTTTATAATTTTAAAATTTGATGAAAACTCTTTAATCTTAAAATTGCATGCATTTAAAACGTATTGTATAAAAAACTCTCTATTTTAATATTTAACAATAAATGTAATTCACGTTTATACTCCAGTCGTTCCAAATATTTTGAGTTTATTACTGTGGATATAAGAATTTAGGTAAAGTATAATTAGTAGGTAACAAGTGTAGATTAAAATAATTAAATAATTTAATTAAAATTTAAAAAATTATAAAATTTAAAATATGATTAAAATGTACAATTTTATTTCCAAAAATAGAAAAGACAAATTACGTAGAACAGATGAAAAAAAAAATAGGGACAGATTATGTGGGACAGATAGAATAATATTTTACAAATAAGAAATAGATAGTACTCCATGTGTAAATAGTACTCATTTGATAGTAAAAATAATAATAAATTTGATCATTTGATCAATCATAAATTGTAATAAAAACGAATAATAATTATTATTATTTTCTTTTATAGTAAAAATATACAAAAGTGTAATAAATTTTTTATTTAAAAAAAAATATGATAATACTTTTTTATAATAAAAAAAATAGTATAAATTTAAATGATGAACTAATTATAAAATATTGGAACCAATTTTTTTTTAAAGTAAATTCCAAAAATCACACTAAAATTTAATGTTATTTTGCATTTACTTAAGAGGCGTCGGTGGATGATCAAGAAACTTGGTCTACTGTAGAGTGGTCATTTATAGCCCATTGGTGAGTTCGGTGGGATTCCAATTCCGCATTTGGGCTTTGTAAAGATGTGGACACATTATATATTCTTTGGCATTATTTAATTTTTTCTAAAATACCATATTAAATTTATTTTTTTCAATAAAATATTATATCGAAAACTTTTTCCTTCATCAATTTTTAGCTATTTATAATTTTAAATAAAAAAAAATAAAATGAAAACATAATTGAGTGATTGATAAAATACTAAGTTTAAGGTACTTTGCATCTTGATTTTATACTATTACTTTCATTTATACCTTTTCCTTGCATACTATGATTAACCATGAGATTATAACATATAAATACTCTTGTTGTTTTATCATATTCGAACAATCAATTCTTTATCTATATTTTGTCACAAAATTATTTGAAAAGTATTTTTTTTTTTCGAGATATATAATATTGGAGTCCTGCCTTATCTCTTACTCGTTCGTTGATGTTTAAAATTTTTTATTAGGAACTAGTGTGTTACACATTTTTAAATATTTAATTTTTATTTATAAATATTTAGGTCTTGTTTTTCAGTTTGGTTTTGATTTTTTATTTTATGCAATCATCGTAGCAATTGCTTATATATAATTATATTATTTTATAATCATAAAATTGAAAAAAACGAATCATATGTGATTGAACCAAAGAAATACTATAATCATCATAATAAAGATAGAAGCTTTTTATTGATTAATATATTTACTACTCATAGTTTCATTAATTAAGACAATATATGCTATTCTATAGATAATTAATATAAATATATATTTTTTTTTTAAAAAAAAAGGAAAATATAAAATGTAGGACCCACACCAAAAAAAGAAAAGAAAATATATATTTTTTGTTTTGTGCTTCAAATAGGGTTGATGATAGTCTATGTGCAACTTTTGCTTGCTTGCCTGCCTGCCATGTCCCATGTCCCATGTCCCTTTACTGTAGCAATTGCTGCCCACAAATTCCTCAGCAATGATGTTCTTTTGCCCTAAAAACATCCACAGGCTCTTAAAAAGTTTCGATTTTTTTACACAATAAATAGACTGAAATCCAGGGCAACATAGTACTGTCTATACCTGCAAATTCATGAAAAATGAAAATATCGACATTCATTTTGATCCTCCTAGTTTCTCCTCCATCCCAAAGCTGGGCTATCGAAGTTGCAGCCGGCGGAGCCGCCGTGTCGGTGGATCTTCCTCTCCCGCCGGCGGCTCAGCTCATTTTCGATGACCTGAGACTGGCCCTCGTTTATCCGGTGATTCAAAAATTCAAGAAATTGATAACCTCGGATCCGTTCAATGTCACTACAACGTGGGTGGGAGCGGATGTTTGTAAGTACAAAGGGTTTTATTGCGAAAGCCCGCCGGACAACAGGTCCGCCATTGCCGTCGCCTCGATCGACTTCAACGGATTCCAATTGTCGTCCCCGACGCTGGTAGGGTTCCTGGATCTTCTCCCCGATCTTGCCATTTTTCATGCCAACTCGAATAACTTCGCCGGAGTAATCCCTCCAGGAATTGTCGGCCTGGAATATTTATACGAGGTGGATATCAGCAACAACAGATTCTCAGGGCCGTTTCCAGGCTCGATCTTGGCGATGGATTCCCTGTCTTTTTTAGACATACGTTACAATTTCTTCTCAGGGTCGATCCCGCCGGAATTGTTCGCCAGGGACCTCGATGCCCTATTTCTCAACAACAACGATTTCATGACGACGCTGCCGGAAAACATTGGAGCCACACGTGTCAGGTATCTCACCTTAGCCAATAACAAATTTTATGGACAGATTCCCCGGCGGATCGTCGAGTCCCTGACAGGCCTGTCTGAGATTCTCCTGTTCAACAACTCGTTGAGCGGGTGCCTGCCGTACGAGCTGGGGCTCCTGGAAGACGCCGTCGTGATCGACGCCGGGAACAATGACCTGACCGGCCCGTTGCCGTTTTCGCTCGGATGTTTGGACAAGTTGGAGATTCTCAACTTCGCGGGAAATTCGTTGTACGGAGAGGTTCCAGAAATTCTGTGTGAACTCGACAAGCTGGCGAACGTGTCGCTGTCGGAAAATTACCTGACGCAGGTCGGGGAATCGTGCCTGGAATTGATCAACACGGGCGTGTTGGATGTGAGGAAGAATTGCATTCCGGGACAACCATTGCAGAGACCTGTATCGGAGTGTGCATTATTCTTTGCTCGTCCCCGGAACTGTCCGTACTCCGACACCTATTCGAAGGTTCCCTGTTGGATGGCTTCGCCGCCGGCGTGATTTTCATTCCGATAATTAGAATATTGTCTTTTTCTTTTCAAGATTTTTTTTTTTAAAAAAAAATTTATAATTAGTAATTATGAATTGATTCCGGTGGGAATGGAAGGCTTGGAAATGATGATAGGGCCTGCCTGCAAGTGTGAATGATTAAGAAAATTTCACGCTTTTATAGTGGATGACGGCTGAGCTCCATTAGGGTTAATGGACGAAGAAGACGTATGTATGAAAATTAATGATTTTTTTTTTTTTTTAAAAAAAAAGAAATATATGATGGATAAACAATAATTATCAGTACAATTATAAAATTACCTCAAAATGGAGTGACACTATTGCATATAATATCGTAGACACCTATTTTCTTATTATTACTTTACTAGTGTTGTTAGTGTAGTACCGTACAAATTTATGGATATTTTAGTTATTTTTATTTTAGAATAAAATATAAAAATAACTAAAATTCTATTTTTATTTTACTTGGATTTTGATTGATGGAGGGGGAGAAGGGAATATTTATGCATGTTAGTTCATCTCTTGTAATAGTAAGAATGATATAGTAGAAAGGCAATATGTTTATTGCCATGATGACTTTTCGACATTTTTTTTTCTCTAAGTTGTTGAAGAACATCAGCCAAAGAGAGATTGTTGATAAATAAGAATTTTTCAATCGAATGGCTACAACAAACAAAATGTTCGAAATCGTTGCCAAGCATGATTTACATGAATACTAATTAACTTGGCTCAAAAGATCGATTGTCATAAAGGCAACCACCTAGTAAGGCCAAAATCGATTTAGATTAACGAGGCTATTTTGAAGATTTTGGAGATGGCGACCAAGGTTGGCGAGTTGTTGTTAAGAGAGTGAATCATTCTAGGTAGATTTTGAATTTATGATTTTATCACCCCAAAGATTCATATGATCGGAAAGTATGCCTAAATGATGATATAATTATGTTATAATAATGCATTTGTATGGGTATAAATATGTATTTTGATGCTAACTGTAGACTTGTTTGACATAAGTAAAATTTTTGGGACAACAATTTTGTGTTGTTTGCTATCTTTGATAAAATATTATACTCTATGTCCCCGTTATAGATGATTTTTTTTTGTCCATTTGATAATTCTTTTTATTTTTTGTAAATTTATTTATTTTAAATATATTTAATAGATATAAATCAATTTAATTAAATTTATCAACTCAAAACTTTTTAGTCTCTATTTCTCTAAGAGTTACATTAAAAATATTCTTATATTTGTATAATTTTTTTGTACCAGTGCCATTTTATTAGTGTTGGGAAGAAAGGGTGCTTCACCAGTAAACTTTCGAACACCTATTCAAATGGGCTAACTCCCGACACTACAAAAAAATAATATATTTGTAACGGAATTCCGTCCCTAAAGTTCACGTAGCTAACGTAATTCCATTACTAATTCTGTCTCTAATGTCATTAGTAACGGAAAAAGTAAATTCAGAGACAAAAAAATTCTGTTACAAAAATGATTTTTTCTTGTAGTGCGAAGCGCAGTTATATCACAGTTGTAATAGCTTCTTGTCAGCGAAATAAATGCAGCAACCAAAACAATACATGACAAGATATTTGGTAACCCGGTTCGGTTATAAACAACCTACATCCGGGGATTCCAATCCAAGAGAAGTTCACTAATAAGTGCTGATTAAGAACAAAACAATCCAAAACTCCTTCAACCTATACTTACAATGCTAATCACCTAGGAAAATTCCTCCAAAGGCATATGCTGTCACAAACACGTAGTAACAACTAACAAATAGCAGGGCTACTCAAATTCTGGATGACTCTTCTGATCGGATTTCTGATTTGCCTTCGACTGATTAACTCTCCAGCGAAATAACAGTGTATAACACTCACTGAATGCATGGAGAAGTGAAGGGTTGGAGTTGAGAGAATTAGATACACTTTCTCTTACTACACTTCTCTCTCTAAACCCATGCAACAACCACACTTCCCACACGTCTTACCAAGTAGCAGCCATACAACGCATACAGGACAAACCCAATTAAAATCCTTTGCACGAAAATGGAATGACGTGTCTCTACATTAAATCTATAAAAGGTTGACTACCCAAAATATCTATTCTTTTTGTCTTTTCTAAACTTCCGAAATCGAGAAGAAAAGACCCAGCATTGTTGCAAACAGTCTGTTGCAGCAACCTGATAAAGACAAATTACTCCAAATAAAAAGCAACAGATAAAGTGATCATGCAGGTGCCCATATGCCAAAATAAATTGTGGAATTCTTGTTCCAACAATTAGTATTATACGAAGTATTTTTGCAACTTTTTTTTTTTTAAATCTATACTATATTTAATATAATAATTAATATTAAAAAAAACACCACAAAAAAATAAATGAGAGAGTATCTTTTATCTTGAAATGAATAATCAAACTCCTCGGTCAATCGTCTGCTATATCTTTATTACCATCATTTATACATATGATAATTATAAATATAAAATTTTAACTTAAATATTGCTCCTTGACCTGGAAATTTTTTGTACATAAATTTATTGAAAAGGAAATAAATATTCTACCCAAATTATCGTCCATGCATGAATGAGACTTTGATCATGAATATTTTAATTGACCACTTTCAATACATAGATATATATATATATATATATAAATATATTATTGAGAGGTCATCCTCAATTTTGGGCCCATGTGTGAACAGCATCAACATCTAGAAGCTTAATTATTATAATAATTCAATTAAACAAAGAAGGTCAAGGGTGATTTTTAAAATAACAAAAATACAAGAATCAAAGAATAAAAATCTTTGGCAATCTTACAAAAATTACACAGAATAAAAAAGATATAAAATTAAATACTCTGGTAGAGGTATTCTTGTGAATTCTGACCGTGGCAGGATTGGTCAGGTCAACCCTATGTCTTCAAAAAGTCATCTGATCCAACGGCCCATGATCATCGACCCTGATCCAACGGCCATCGACATTCATTTCAATATTGTGTTGGAATTCAATTCAAGAATTATAAATTAGAATAATATCTTGGAATTTGAAAACCCGTGTGGCATACGCGTATATTAATGTACACAATTATTATATAACAATATACATGAATTATCAATATTGTTGTTATTATTAATTTTGTAATTGAATATTTTTGTTGAGTGGAAGATGAAAGCATGAGTCATGACCAAGTGTGACAGTCTCATCCTCACGTACACAATTTAATAACAATTAATGCCCTAAAAAAAAGTCCAAAGTCCTATCATCTCAAATGGTACCCACCCACATTTGTCAGAAATACACTATTTCTTTAAATTATTTATTTATGTCATTATTTAAATGAGGATTGGATTGAAATCAAGTAAAAGGTGAGCATCTTGTAAATAGCCCCCACACACTACAATCAAAATAAATAAATTTTGCAAATAGATATTGGGAATCAAACTGTGTCAAAATATCACAAATATATATATATATATACATATATATATGAAACATGGCATCAATTACATATATGATAGATCTATATTTATATATATATATATTTTCCAAATTGGAGGAACAAGAAAAAGGAAGAAAACCCACTGATTGAAGTGCATGATGCAATTCCCACCAAACCCACAAATTTGTTCCTCTCTCTCTCTCTCTTCTTTATTTTTCACTCTTTCAAGAGAGAGAGAGTCAAAAAACAAGAAAAGAAACAACATGGGACCAGCCCAATATTTGTCCTGTCTTGAAAATGTTATGATCATTCGGTGTTGACCATCTGTATATGGAATCGGACGGACGGCTGCGATTGAGAACCTTATCGTGTTGCGTGGGGAAAGAGATCTGGGCCGTCGGATATATGATCATGATCAAGATCAAGATGATTCAAGAACTAGGGCAGGTGCATCTGCCTTGGACAGGGCATGATTGTGCTCGCCTTCGTATGTCACTATAAGCATTGTCGGGTCGTCCAGGGCCCGCTCCACATGCTTTCGGGCCGGGCACCCTCGTACACTGCTGCACTTGTAATAACCCCTGCAAATTTTAATTCGCATTTTCCATTAGAGTTTTTAGAAAGAAAAAAAAAAAAAATTGGGATTAGGGTTGTGGAAATTACAACGTACCTGGGATGAGGGGAACCTTTGATGGGCTTTTGACCGTATTTTCTCCAGGAATAGTCGTCGGGTGGAATGTCGGCCATCTTCATGCTTATGGCTGGAACTCTCTCCACTCTCTTCAATCTTGATTTTCTGCAGAAGAAGAAGAAAAGCTAGATTGATTGATTATGGCGGTTTTGATTTGTATTCTGTTTCGGGTTTGATTGGAGGAGTTGACTTAATTAATGGGTGGACTGATTTTGTAGTTAATTAATTAATTACCTTTTCTTGGGGCAATGGCAGCGGGACGACGCGCCGCCGCACTTTCCGGTGGCGTCGTCGACGGAGTTGCACTTCCTCTTGAACGAAGACGTCGACGGCGGGGGGCGGCCTGCGGACGAGACCTGGGAGAGATTCGTGATCTGAAAACCGGACGACATCGACGGCTGGAGGCTATCGGTGTCGCCCGTCAACGACGAAATGAACGACGTCGCCGGCGACGCGAAGTTAATGGTGGTCGACGACTCCTTCCTTTCAATCGAGCCGTGTTTCACGAGCTGTTGGTGGTGGTGCGGCAGCGGCGGAAGCCGCTGAACCGGCGTGGGGCAGTAAATCTTCGAACCGGAGGCGCCGCTGACGTCCTCGGTTTTCGGAGCTCTTGATGACGGACCGGCCGGTTCGGCGGCCTTCTGCGGCGTGGGAGAGGGGTTCGAGACCGGGCCGCGGCGGAACCGGGCGTGGCCGGTTCTTGGGGTCCGGTCGAGAAGTGATATGAACTTCTTGAATTTGTGGACGGCAGCCACCGCCACCGCCTGGTAGTCGGCGGAGGACGGCGGCGATGACTTTTCAGGGAAGGTTTGTTGGTGGGAGTGAGAAAGTAGTTTGATGAGTTTCTCGACGCTCTGAAGTCCGGCGGCGGCGGCTTCCTGGGCGGCGGCGGCTTCCATTTCCGGCGAGAATCCGTACACCGGAATCAATTGAACTCCCATAACCACGACAGGGTTCAAATCGAGGATTTGTTAAGAAAAGAAAAGGAGTTGAAAGGATGAGGAAACGGACAGATAAATAAGTAGGAAGAAAGAAACACGGCTAGCAATAAATTTCCAAGAGATCCATGGACTTACAGCACATATCGTCAGATTAACTAAATTTAACGGACAGGATTTGTCCGGATCCGAACTCCCGGATCTTGCAATATTACCTGACGAGAGGGGTCAATTCTCTCTCTTGCTTTCACTGTGTATTGTCGATTTTGACTTGGTTTAATTTCTCCAATGAAATGTCTACACGTGTCTGGAGAGAGAAAATGGAGACGCATTGACTAATATTAAATTATGGAAGTGGGGACGAGTTAACGGTCGGATGGGGTGCAATAAGTCAAAAGAAGCGTAATGAGCCGTTGGATTAGAGGAAGGACAAAATGGGAAAGTTAAGCTGGTGCCAGTAAGGCAGAGTTGACCTTTTACCAGCTTTTAATACAAAAGTCTATCGGTATTGGGCCCCACTTCGCTTTGCCTTAACCAATTACCCAAACCATCCACTTTTTTATTATTATTATTATTATTATTATTTATTACTACTATTCTTTATTTTCAAATTTTGAATTAAAAATGTCGCAAGTTCTTTCTCAATTCGAAGTATATGGATCTATTTATATTTTTATTAAAAAACATTGCTACTCCCGTCACTATAAAAACCAAGAAAACATAAAAGGAGATTTTTTTCTTAAGAAATGATTGATACCACGAATAAATTCATTTATTCAAATATATTTTGTTTTTCAATAATGTTTTATATTTGATTAATATGTATTTATGTAATAATTTAAAATTATATACTTCATTTTATGACAAATTTATCTATTAATGAAAGTTTTTTTTTAAAAAAAAATTAATTACATATTTTTACATAAAGGGTTTTGAATTGTACTTTTATCCACATATGCACTTTAAGATAAGATATAAATTATTTAATTATAGAATGAAATTATTTTTAGTTTGGCAATCACGAATGTTTTGATGATACTATTTTCAATAAATACTATAAAAATATTATATATATATATATACATTCTATCTTTTAGAAAAATAATAATTTAATATAAAATATTAATATTTTTTATATTCTCAATACGATTAACACAAAAATACATAGTAAGCCAAAAAAAAAAAAAAAAACAGAATGAGCACGTATAATATATACTGTATGTATATTACTGTAATCATAAAATTATACTCAATTATTATTATTTTTTAATTAAAAGATGTTGATTAATGGTATTAATAATAATTTTATTAATTGTGAACATTTAATATAAATTTATTTATTATAAAAATATTAAAAAATTGACAAAATGGATATGATGGTGTAGACCCACCAATGGCTGATTGTTGGTGCATTTCCAAGTTTAATATGTGTATTGGTTAATACTCACTAAAATTCAACTTTTTAGGTTTGGTTGAGTTTGGTAAAACGTCTCTGTGGAAATTAAATTAAATTAAATAAATCATTGGAATTGTTGTTTCAATCAAATTTCTTAGATCAGGATTCAGGTTAAGATTGTTACTATTAGTAGTATTCTTTTCCTAACTGCTTCTAGAATCATCTAGAAAGCTCCATTTAATAAGTATTGGGCTTATTCTTGGCCCACTTGCACAATTTTATTGGGAACCTATCGCAAGTTCTTAGCCCATAAAAGCCCATAAAATTCGTTCTTTCTGTGGACTTGTATGCTTTTTTTAAAAAAAAAAAAATTTTTATTAAACTTTATTTATTATTACTATTATTTTTTTTTTTTTTTCAGTGAAAAAGATATAGAGATACTACATCCCATTGGCACTATTTATATAAAATAAAGAAAGCATGAACTTATGGCTATAAAGTTGTAGTTTAAATTTTCGATGTCTCTAGATCTTGTCTATTATTTATGATTAACTAGTGTGCTTTATTTTGTTGAATTTAGTTTACAGGGTATCAAATTTGATCAAAAGATTACGATATCATATTTAAAAATAGGAATTGCGAATTCTCACCTTAGAAAACATATTCATCCTTGGAACTTAATAATATTTTTAAACTTTACACGATTATTTTATCAATTACTTTGCAAAGTAAATATATTTATTCTTGCATACAAATAGAATTTATTTATCTTATAGGCAAAATCAAGTATTTACATTAGTAATTTTAAAATATTAGATACAGAGAGAATACATCAAATAAATAGAGATGTTTAGGCCAAACCTTAACAAACACGACCCAAATAATAGGCCTAACAACCAAAATATGCTAGAGAAATACTGCGATTTAATTTGTTGTCACTTCACTGCGTCGAGAGTAGTTCTTATTGTCCGGTCAGCAAGTGGGTCCAAGGGCAATGCCACGGCTTGATGGTCCGGGGTACAGCGTGGCCCCCGGTGGGGGTCGGGGGCAAAGCCTTCGAACCAAATTGTATTGCTAGGTTCACTGTCTATTTTGATTGTTAGGTTTATTTTTTAGGTCCAACGTGTTAAGGTTTGACCTAAATATCTATATATATTTGATATATTATCTCTGTAATTAATATTCTAAGATTGTAGTGCAAATACATGACTCAATTGTTTTCAGACGTAGATTATTCTGATCGAATTACGTCACTAAATTCTTTTGTATCCTTCTCTAATTTCATTGATTTTCTAATTTATACTTTTAATTTATATTTAATGTATTTTCTCTTAATATTTAAACAGGTGGGAGCGCCATACTAAATTTTTTTATTAATTACTATTTATATTATATGCTTTTAGTCGATGTAATATAATCATTTTACATGTTTCAAATATTCTTTATTCATATATAATTTAAACGAAGTTTTTATAATATACTACTAATCAATAATATAAGATTGAAATAACGTTTCGTGTATTTATGTATCTATAATATATAATACAATACAATATAATAAATTAAATTAAATTAAATTATCCCTGATCGGTTGATGCACTGAAACCCCCCACTGTTGATACATCGTTATAGCTTGTACATTAAATCAACTATTGAAAATTTGAAATATTATCTAAGATCATTCAATTTAATTTAATAAATAATAACAATATATTTTTTTCTGTTCAACGTGCAAATCTGAGTAAAATATAGGCGCAGTTAATTAGGGAAATCTTATTAATGAATTAAAATAGTGTATAGGTAGAGTACGTAAAGTGACGTGTGAGTGCATGCAAAGTAAAATTTGACTGTACAACCATACAATGCATACGAATTTTTTTTTTTTTTTTATTATTTAATATTCAATATTTCAAATAATATGACACATACTCCGTTCATCCAATTTTATTTTTTTTTTTTATTTTTATAAAATTTGAAATGTTTTAAAAACTTATATTATAGAAAGATTGAGTTAAAAGTAACACTATCATATTAATTGAGAGAAATGAAATATAATTTTGAAATTTTGGGAAGACTCTGCTGTAGGTCAATTTTTAGTACCACAGATTAGTGCTTAACAAATTTGGCAATGACGTGGCATCAATATTCAGTTAGAACAACATTAATTCCCACGTCTACGTAATTAATATGAGTTGATGATGGGTGCTGATCCGGCCAAATTGATGCTTATTTGACTTATCAATATATGTCTAATGAGTAACCAACTTATGTATATTTATATATATAGCTAACATATATAGTGTTATAAAATAATATATGTTAGAGTTATAATATAATATATATTGTATAAATATTCTAAATTATGTATAAATATACGTTGGTCATCAGTTTCTGTCAAATCAACATGATATTAGCTTGACTGGATTAGCAACAAATTCATGCCCATTTGCCCCTTTGATCCAATGAAAAAATTAAATTAAATTCATCATAATGCAGGAAATAAAAATTGAAAAAAAATAAAAAATAAAAAAAAATATATATATATGATTAATCCCAAATGGAAAGGCATTGGCTACACGATTGAGTTAATTAATACCCATTGTTTAGTATAATTAAGCAATTCAGACGAAGTAAAAATGAAGTCTTGCAGAGATGACAAAAGGGCATTCTTGGAATTTCGGGATGAGATGAGATGAGATGAGAGTGATTAACATCTCGAAGTGGAAGGCAAGGAAACCTCAAATGGCAGTTGCCTCAAGAGTCACTGGCTTTTGCATACTTGTCTTCAAGAATTTCTCTTTTACTAAAATTAAAACCTTCCAACCAGAAGCTTCCCAAATATGTATCAATCGAATACATGTCTGCTTTTTACCTCATCATTTGTACGTCTTCAATTTTGACAAAACTAGATAGAGGGTGCGTCTGTGTCACCTCACCCTGTAGCTGTACTATAATATATATGTATATATATATGTATGTATAGAGATAATTGGATTAGGGCATGCACTAGTGTGGCAGAATGATTATGGTTTTGAGGAAGATGATGATGAAGACAGCCTCGTCGAGATCTGGTTTGATCATGAGGATCAACCTCGTCTTCTTGGCATTTTTCTTGGTGCTTTACTCCATCGTTCTTCTTTGCCCTTCTGCTTCTGATTATCACCATTCTTCGATTGTTCGATGCTCATTGAGCGAATGCCATCATCGCCATCATCATAAGGTTAGGTGAGCTAACTAGCCATTTATTGTGTAAGAATTTTTTGAATTATTGTTTGTCTTATGGATATATATATATAATCGACCAGGTTTTGGAGAATGGGGTGAAGATGGAAGTGGTTTTGTCAGCGGGAGAATTGGGGAAGCCGAGGTTTTTGAAGGGGGTCGGGACGGGGATGAAGATCGGAGTGGTGAATATGGAGGAGGAGGACATGTCGGAATGGGAGGCGATCGGAGAAGTGATTCCGGTGCCGTTTCAGAAAGTGTCGCCGGCGATGGAATGGAAGGACCTGTTTCCGGAATGGATTGACGAGGAGGAAGAAACCGATGGCCCGTCTTGCCCGGAAATTCCGATGCCGGATTTCGACAGGTTTGGAAGCCTGGACATGGTCGTCGCCGGACTGCCCTGCCGGTCGCCGGAGGAGGGCTGGAACCGGGACGTGTTGAGGCTCCAGGTGCATCTCGTGGCGGCCAATCTGGCGGCGCGGAGAGGGAAGAAAGGGACGACGACGGTGGTTCTGCGGAGCAAGTGTACGCCGATGGTGGAGATTTTCCGGTGCGATGAGGTCGCCGGAAGAGAAGGGGACTGGTGGCTTTTCCGGCCGGATTTGGACAGGTTGATGCACAAGGTTTCACTCCCTGTCGGCTCCTGCAATTTGGCTATGCCTCTGTGGGGTAAAGGTACAACATTCAATCCGGACAGTACTACTGCCGTACGTACGTAATTCAGTTTCCGCCATTGAAAGGGAAGTTCAAAATTGTAATCATCATCTTATTATCACAGGGATCAACGAAGCTGTAAACGACGTCGTTTCAAAGAGGAAAACCAGCGAAACGACGTCGCAGCGACAAGCCTACGCCACGGTCCTCCACTCAACAGAAGCCTACGTGTGCGGCGCAATAGTCCTGGCCCAGAGCCTGCGCCAGACCGGGACCCGCCGGGACCTCGTCCTCCTGCTGGACGCCGCCATATCCGAACCCAAACGGGTCGCCCTTTCCCGGGCCGGGTGGAAGATCCGCTTAATAAAACGGATCCGGAACCCTAAGGCGGAGAAGAAATCCTACAATGAGTACAATTACAGTAAGTTCCGGCTATGGCAGCTCACCGATTACGACAAGGTCGTCTTCATCGACTCCGACATCGTCGTCCTCCGCAGCCTCGACGGTCTGTTCGATTTCCCGCAGATGTCGGCGACCGGCAACGACGGCTGGATCTTCAATTCCGGCGTGATGGTGATCGAGCCGTCAAACTGCACGTTCCGGACGCTGATGAACCGGAGAGAGGAGATCGTTTCGTACAACGGCGGCGACCAGGGTTTCCTCAACGAGGTCTTCGTCTGGTGGCACCGCCTGCCGCGGCGCGTGAACTTCCTCAAGAATTTCTGGTCGAACACCACGGCGGAGGCCGCCGTGAAGAACCAGCTATTCGGGTCGGATCCTCCGAATCTGTATTCGATCCATTATCTCGGGTGGAAGCCGTGGCTGTGTTACAGGGACTACGACTGCAATTGGGATGTTCCCGACCGGCGCGTGTACGCCAGCGACGTCGCCCACGCGCGGTGGTGGCGCGTGCACGACGCCATGGAGGAGAGTCTGAAGGCCTTCTGTGGGCTGCCGGACTGGCGGAAGAAGGGGCTTCTGCGTGACCGGAAAGTGGCCGGAAAGTTGGGGCTGAAGGATCGCCATTGGAGGATTAATGTAACGGATCCAAGAAGATTTATTTAATCATTTTTTTTTTTTTTCTTTATAATTAAGTGTTCATGGAGGATATATCAAATTGTCAATGAACTTTTCTTGTCATCAATTTATATTTTTTAATTAAAAAAATTGAATACAAAATAAACAATATATATTTAGAAGAGGCAGTTGGTATGCTGATTTGAATTGTCAGTAGGGTAAATATATAACATAAACACAATATTGTATCATATCATATAAAAAAAAAATATATGTGCAATTTATATACTGTAGCGTGTTGTATATATTTGTTATGGCAAGATAAAATATATAATATATTGTATAAAATTATATATCATATGTAGTACTATTAGGAAGATTTTGGCAAATTAACATGAAAACTTAACTGACATTTAAATAAATGCCTTTATTTAAATTTAAAATAATAAAAACTAACAAACACACCCCCTAATTTCTTCAATTTGGACACAATCATGACTTTATCAACTAATCTGATCGAACCTTTCCATATATATAATTTGACCTTTTAAAAAAAAAAATCATCATTATAATTCTTCAAAAAATAAAATCAAATGTGAGGGAAGATGCAGACAAGGATGTGGTTGTGCATTTTTTTTTATTTGAGACAAATTAAATAGCAACAAAGAGAGGTAAGGATAACAAATTAAAAGGATAAGTTAAGTACGATGATGAAAAGGAAAAGTTAACCACTTGGATTAGTTGAGAAAACCATTTAATTTGGTGCACCTAACCACAGTACAAAAATCAGCTCCATCATATTCCTTTGTGGATTTATTTATATTTACATTGGATATAAATCGATCCTACTTAATTTATTGCACATATTTCTGTGACAACATTATTATAATTGTTTTATGAACCTGAAATGTTTTTATAAGTATGATGTAATATAAATTTATATGTTATATAATATGCTTTTAAATAAAATAATGTTGTATACAATATATAGTAAATAAAAATATCGATATATTGTGCAATTTTTTATGAAAAATGATTATTGTTAGCATATATTTCTTTTTGTCGATTGCATTTCTGTATCTTCGCAAAAAATATACTATATATATATTGATGATATGGGAAAATATAATCATTACTCCTTAATCATATGTAACAGATAAAAATTTAAAAATGTCGGAAGTTCAAACTTATAATTTCACGATTACAAATTCATTTTCATATTATTAGACAAATTCCTTAGGAACAATATATTTTTATTTATAATAAAAAGAATTCTTTTGCACTTATTAACTTATACATTTATTTATAAACATGTTATTGTTAGTTTTAGGATGAAAAATCGAAATGAAAACAAAATGTTAGAAACTAAATAGAATTTTATTGAAAAACAACGCAAATGTAACACAATCGAAACACAAAGAATACACTAATGTGTTTCAAATTTAAAATCGGTTCACTTTATCGAACAAAAAAACCGTCAAGAAGGAAGAGCTGTTCCACCCCGACGGACACCGTTGAATCTATCTCTTACCCCCCCCCCCCCAAAAAAAAAAAAAAACCCAAACCCCCGAAAGTAAACAACACGATTTGAATGAATCGGATTGTATAAACCTCAACAACCATTCCCCAATGTCTCACAAAACAAAAGTCTAACTAAATCGCATGCATATCACCGAAAAACACCCGTCGGAGATACAAGAACTCTCCTTCACGGGCTCTTTGTCATGAGTCCAAAAGAAGAAGAAGAAGAATGATCGCGACAGAGAATACAATTTTCTAAAGAAAAAATATATTAACGGCTACGTGAGGCATCAATATATATTAATGCAATGAATGACTAGTATCAGAATCTTAGAAAGAACGGCTAGGATTCAATATGTGGAAACTGGGTTGCGGGTTAGAACTTCGAAATATCACCGGACGAATCGGATCGAATTTTGAACAATTTCAATCTTGGCCAAAATATTTTTTTTTAAAAAAAAAAAAAAAAAGTTATATTTACAGTTGCATAATTTACACATCTAACTCACTTATCCATTACTATTTTAATATAATATTATATTCATTAAAATATATGTTTTGGTTTAGAAGAGTAAACTTTTGTTGTACCAATTGTACTACCATTATATCTAAGTTATGATATTGTAGCCTAAGCCCAAGTGAAAGCCCAAACATCTTTTTGAGATTCAGATGTATTTTTGTTTTATTTTTAATTTTTTTAGTCGATAATAATCGTTTGATGTATTGTGTTATACAAAGAATATCAATGTATTTTTCTAGTATTCTTGTTGGAGATGAGTGTGGTAATTTATTTATTTAAATATTATTATTATTATTATTATTATTATTATTATTATTTGTATAGTGAGGTTCAGCCTCAGCCTCAGCCTCAGCCTCAGACATCCTGAAAGAAAGAAGAGACAAAAAGTGCACGAATGGATCTCCTTCATCCATTCCCAACTGTCGTCTCTTATCACCAAATTCTCCTCTCCTCCTTCCTTCCTTCACACACATTCCATTTCGATCGATCCATCATTATCAACTCTTTCTTCCATGGCTACCTCATCCATCGTCCATTCTATCTTCAACGGTCTGCATTAATCAATTACTTTCCATTTATCCCTCATGCATTTTCTCAAATCCATTCATAATTAATTAATCAATTCATGTGATTTTCAGGCAGTTATTATTATACGTTGATGATTCTCAAAACTACTGTCTCTCTGATCGATCATTAATGGAGGATCATGCTGCTAAAATCCCTAGAGACGACGGCGGTTCTGAAACCTCGCCGTCTTCCCCGCCACCGCCGATCGAGGATCGATCGTCCATGAATAATGAGGAGCTCCACGTTTCCCGAATCGAGCCCAAATCCGAACCCGTCTCGTCCTACTCCGTCGTCGACGGCGAAATCGACAACAAATTCGCCATCGACGACGACTCTAAAGGAGACGACGTCAAAATCACGGCCAAGCCGTCGCCGCCGGAGGACGACTCCGATGGGCTGACTCCGTCGCTGTACCACCGGAGAAACTCCAGCGTCGATCAGATTGTCGCCAAAGTCCCCACCGCCACCGGAAACCACTTCACCAGAACACAGTCGTCGCAGCCGCAGCGATTCAAAGCTCACGACAATGGCGACCTGAACAAAGCTCAGATCGACACCACCGCCCCTTTCGAATCCGTTAAGGCCGCCGTCTCCAAATTCGGCGGCATCGTCGACTGGAAGGCCCACCGCGTCCAGACCGTCGAGGTAACAACAACAACAACAACAATAAGGTTAATCAATCAATTCACTTAACAATTTCTTACATACAACAATGGCGATCGATCATCTCAGAGACGAAAGTTCATCGAGCAAGAACTGGCCAAAGCTCAGGACGAAATCCCATCATACAAGCAGCAATGCGAGGTTGCAGAGGAGGCCAAGAAACAGGTGATGAAAGAACTGGACAGCACCAGGAGGCTGATCGAAGAACTAAAACTCAATCTCGAAAGAGCTCAGACAGAGGAGCATCAAGCCAAACAGGATTCCGACCTAGCGAAACTTCGCGTCGAGGAGCTCGAGCAGGGGATCGCCGACGACGCGAGCTTCGCCGCCAAGGCGCAGCTCGAAGTCGCCAAGGCAAGGAATGCCGCAGCCGTGACGGAGCTCAAGGCCGTCAAGGACGAGCTCGAACAGCTCCGTAAAGATTACGCGTTGCTCCTGTCGGAAAAAGACGCCGCAATTAGAAAATCCGAGGAAGCCGTGGCTTCAGCTAAGGAAATCGACAAGTCCGTCGAGGATCTAACGATCGAGCTTCTCACCGTAAAACAATCGTTAGAATCCGCTCACGCCGCACATCTCGAGGCGGAGGAGCACCGGATTGCGGCGGTGATGGCGAAGGAGCAGGAGACGTTGAATTGGGAGAAGGAGCTCCGGCAGGCGGAGGAGGACCTGGTGAAGCTGAACCAGAGGATGCAGTCGACGGAGGAGTTGAAGTCGAAGCTCGGTAACGCCACGACGATGCTGCACGACTTGAAATCTGAGCTGTCGACGTACATGGAGTCAAAATCAGACGAAACCACCGTCGAAGGAGGATCGGAGAAGAAGACGCGCGCGGATATTCAGGTCGCCATTGCTGCCGCCAAGAATGAGCTCGCAGAGGTGAGGCAGAGCATCGAGAAGTCGCGCGACGAGGTTAACATCTTGAACGTCGCCGTGAATTCATTAAAATCCGATCTTGACAACGAGAACACGGAGCTCGCCGCCGTCCAACAGCGAGAAGGGATGGCGGCGATCACCATCGGATCGCTCGAAGCCGAGCTCGGCCGGATAAGATCCCAACTCGCCGACATTCAGACAAAGGAGAAAGAAGAACGCGAAAGAATGGGAGATTTACCGGCGAGGCTACAGGAGGCGGCGAACGAGGCTGATCAAGCCAAGGAGCTCGTCGAGAAGGCGCGTGACGAGCTCCAAAAGGCCAAAGAAGAAGCCGAGCAAGCGAAGGCGGAGGCGAGCACACGGGAGAGCAGATTACGCGCCGTTCAGAAGGAGATCGAAGCAGCCAAGGCGTCAGAGAAGCTCGCGTTAGCCGCCATGACTGCACTGCAAGAAAAGGAAACCTCCCAAAAGAACAACGAGGAAGATTCGACGGATGGAATCACGCTGTCGTTGGAAGAATACTACGAGCTGAGCAAGCGCGCGCACGAAGCTGAGGAGCAGGCAAACATGCGCGTGGCTACTGCTCTCGCCCAAGTCGAGGCGGCAAAGGAGTCCGAGTCGAAGAGCTTAAACAGGCTCGACGAAGTCACCCGCGAGGTCTCTAACCGGAAGGAGGCATTAGAAGTCGCAGTGCAGAAAGCCGAGCAAGCCATGGAAGCGAAGCAGGCGGTCGAGCAGGAGCTGCGGAAGTGGAAGGCCGAGCACGAGCAGAAAGGGAAGGGCGGCGAATCCGACGCAGCCGAGAGCACGAGCGGGTCTGAGAAGTCGGCTGAATTGAAGAACAGCGACGGTTCACTTTCGCATCAGAGATCGAGCAGCGACGCAGGGACGGAGTCGCCTCCGGGAGCGACGGCCGCGGCGCCTAAGAAAAAGAAGAGGTCAATCTTTCCTCGGTTCTTCATGTTCCTGGCAAGAAGGAAAGGCTCACATTCATCTAAGACGGCTTAAAATCATGTAGTGTTGTTTTTTCTCACACATTTCGTTTCTATTCTGCTTCCTCCTACAGGTTTCTCTCATGGAAAAGCTCTGGCTTTTACACGGCTGTTGCTTTATGTACTGTAATTTTGCTTAGAAGATGGACTAAATAATTTTCTGGGGTTCAAAGAATTGTAATGTAAAATCTAATCAAGTTTGTAACCATTCTATTGTATTTGTACAGCTTCTGGTTTTCCAATCATCTGTAAATTCTTCCTTAAGAAAGAAACCTCCATAAAATCATAATTTGCAGGGCACATAATGATGAAGAAGAAGAAGCAACTCTTACATTGAAGCTGAGGTTAGGGTTACAGTTAGAATCCGGGAAAAGCAAAAAGAAGGTAGTAGCCTTAATCTTCATTTCCGTGGACTCCGGTTACGCTGTCTTGTGCGATGATAGATTCAGAAGGGACAACCTAAGAAACAAATTATGATCCTGTAAGATCGATAACTGAAGTAATGAATATGCATGGGATGTAATAAACACCTGATCTGTATTGGAAACGGTATCAGTGGAAGTTCTTGTCCTCTTGATTCCTTGCATCATCTCCGACTTCTCTTCATCAAGATCGTTGTCGCGAAAGTTCTGATCAGTCACCTCTGATTAAAATGGACACAAATAACATTAGTAGTAACATAACATTTATAGATTTCATTCACTATGGGCATTGCATTTGCTACCTGTGTCGCCATCGTCCGAGTGTTGAGAATTTTGCTTCTCCGAAGCAGCTTTTGACGAAATTCTTCTATTTCCTTTTCCCTCGGAGCATTTGTAATGACGGATCCAGGGATTCGCTGTAAGAACCCCGGATCCCTTCACTTGGTTAACTTCTGGCTCTTCTCTCATGAAGTCGAGTTTAGACCAACAGCCATATCGAAAAACCTTATACTACATAGGCAAAATGAGGATTAGCAAAAATGCATCTATAGGCCAACAATACAAACAGTGTTCTTTGTTTGCAGATCGAACCTGGCCGGAAGGGGCAGAGGTGCCAGTGGGCTTGTGCCGGGACGGTTTAGAACCTAGTGGGAAGTTTTTATGCGATTGCTGCGCTAGCAATTTGTACAAATGGTTAACGAATGCAGCTTCCATGGATTTCAGATACAAACTATGCTTCTCATCTGTCCACTCCGCCGGCTTCTTCTCCGCCTCCTGATAGCACCAAATCGACATTTCTCAAATCAGAACAGAAGCTATGAAGTGGATCAACAGACAGACAGTAGGCACACTTTCAAAGCGACATAAATTTAGCTAATGCATATTTGTATTACAGACAAACGTACAGAAAGAAGAACGTGAAGGCTTACAGAAACACAGCATTAAGATATACAAGATACGAGATGACATTCTGTTACGGATCGAATTGAGTACTAAAAACTCATATTTTCTAGGTCAAAAACCAGAGCAAGCCGCCAATTTCTTCAATATATTCTCCCAACCATGAATCGCATCCTAATTCCAACATCAAATTCGACTAAAAATACCAAAAACCTAATTACTCTAAACCTGCAATTTCAATCAAAAAAAAAAAAGTCGAAAGAGCTCAAGAGAAATCAAATCTACCGCCCAAGTCGAAGATTCCTCCTGTTCATAACAGTTTCTTGTCTCTCCCGCATTTGAATCCCCCGAATTTTCCATGGATTTGAGCGGACGTGAAAACCTAAGCCTCGAAATTCAATTGCTATTTGACGAATGTTGGGGCCTTGGGGGTGGGTTGAGAGAATGAGGTTGTTGATGGTAGAGAAAAAGAGCAAAAGGGTTTGCCAGATGTCGCCGCCTTTACACGTGTCGACAGCTCAGCTTGTGGGTAAGGTAAGCCACCAAGTCAACTGGCCAGATATTTTTGCTCCCATGAAATATCAAGAGACCTCCACAGTGAATTCACAAAATATCTTCTGCCCTGGACGATCCAACTAGGTCCGCAAAAAAATCGAACACAACCTCGGATAGTTGAACTAAACTGAATTGAATCGAATCGAATTTTCGATTAATCGAGTAAATTTGGTTCGAATACAAATATCATATATTTTATATTTGTTCAATTAGGTTCGATTTCAATTTTATATAGTTCACAATTTTAGATATTTGTTGGATTTGGTTCGGATATCTAATACGTAAGTATTTGCAAATATCCTAAAGGTCTCCAAACCTATATCCAACTACCCGACCAGATGCAGCTTCGAATCTAAGAATATTCGTTATTCGAAACGGGAATTGTCCGTGCTTGGACATAATTTCATAGGAATCGAATCAAATCCAATTCGGAATCGACAGATCAGAACAGAACAGCACTGTCGTTCATGTGCGGTCGGTGAGGGAAGGACTTTCAGGCACCGGCGCAATTGGGTTTCCGGGTCGGGCTGGATCCGAACCCGTATCCGTTGATCCGTTATCTTCTTTCTGTTCGTCAATGTCAGTCGCAGCGAAGAGGGGAAACACAGAATTAGACCTAATTTTGTGAAATCGAATGGCGTCAGTATGTGCTTCTAATTTGCCAGATGTTGGGCGGCGCCTCCGCAAGGACCCTACCCAGAATAACCTAATTTTGTGCCCCTTTTCTTTAACCGTTCCATGGTCCAAAGCCCGATTGCGTGCTGTGAAGACAAGGTCGTCGTCGGACAGCAGCGGCTCGATTCAGAGCAGTCCGGAGAATTTGTCGAGGCGGCCGGAGGCGCCGTCTCCGGCGGCGGACGATGGTGAGAGATCGGAGCAGGATTGTAATTCTGGAGATACGTGGATCGATTGGGAGGATCAGATTATGGAGGAGACTGTCCCCGTTGTGGGTTTCGTTAAAATGGTTCTTCACTCTGGAAAGTAAGCTCCTCAATTCCATCTTCCATTACCGATATGCTGATTGAAGTTTGAGTTAAACCCTAAATATCTCCAGTTCACTATCAATTTCTGCGATTGTTTCTGCAAATTTAGGTCTGCAACAGAATTTGAAGTTTAAGCTTAAGCCAAGCTCATGCCCCTCTTTAACCAATCCTCTGTTAATGACATTGTTTTGCAGATACCAAAGTGGCGATAAATTGAGTCCCGAGCATGAGAAGATTATCCTGGAGAGGTTGCTTCCATATCATCCCGAATGTGAGAAGAAGATAGGATGTGGAGTTGATTACATCACGGTATGATCTTCTCATCCTCCCACCTTCGATGGCCTGTATACATCTTTTGATGGAGGAATGTTGAGTCATTGCTTTATCTTTCCCAAATGTTTTGGTACAATATATCGATCAGAAGTTTTCCAATCGATAAATACAGCTTTTTATTAACAAAACCAGGATGTTTTCCGGGGTTTGGAAAGATCAACTTAGGTAAATAATGGCTGCAGTTTGTTCTAGTTTCATCGTGACTCATTTTCCTTTGGCTTGTTCATCGACATAGGATGAATACTTTTTTGTCGTAAAGATCTATATCGCGTTCTCTTGCAAGATAATCTAAATTTAGAGTCGCAAATTTCCCCTAAAGTTTTTAAGGGTTCGGAGGAAATTAGCAAGAAGGCGCACACATTAAATTCTTTTGGATTAATGTAGCTTTATATTATGTATTGTACTATTTTACATTCTCTATTTTCCTCTAATCAACGGCAATATTTTAGTCGATCCATTGGCTTATAGGTACATGTTTTTCATGCATGCTAGACAGATTGGATACCATCCTGAATTCGAGAGGTCGAGATGCTTATTCATAGCTCGTAAAGACGGGGAATTGGTCGATTTTTCGTATAGGAAATGCATCAAAGGTTTGATAAGAAAGAAGTACCCCCTGTTTGCAGACACCTTCATTCTCAGACATTTTAGAAGATACAAACGCAATGATCCTAGGTAAATATTTTTGCCAATGGTGCTTTACATCCTGCATTTGTATATTCTACTTTGTGTGATCTGATTTTATATATATATATATGTTGGTGATTGAATTTGTATCTATTGAGATCTTTACTGATTAAATGCATCATTGTTGCCTAGATGGTGATTAGAGTGCACGGGGCTGATTTGACTAGTTAACAAATTAAAATAAAGCAATTAGTAATTCATTACAAATATAGGAGTATAAAATATATTATCAAGTAATTCTCGTGGACATTTTACCAAAGGGAATAACACATTAAATAAAAATAATTAGCATTTTATGACAAGATAGATAACACTGATAAAAACAATACAAAATTTGAATTTTAAAGAGTTTCATGTAAAATTTATGCCTATATTACTATTTTGCCCTTTTTATTATAAACTTTTGAGAGAAATTTGTTTTGAGTTTGGATTGATTTTGAATTTTTGGTTAAGTTTGATTGTCTGTGTTTCTTTAGAGTTAGAGGTTTGGTTTAGGTATGAGAAGTTTGGATGCCTATTGATTTGAGAGTTATTAATTATATTAAATTAAATAAATTTAGGGTGTATTTGTTTGGGATTTGGATTTTGAATTGGAATTTGAATAGGAAAAATATTGAATTTGAACAGCGGTACAACGTGTAACTGTTTTATATAAAATTGATTTTTAATATAATAAAGAAAAATGAAAAATAAGTGTTTAATTTGATATTTTAAAAAAAAAAAATTAAAATGAATAATGAATTTAAAATTCAATCTCAAAAAAATATACCATTAATTTATTATTAATAATATTATTATTTTTAATTATAAATATATTAAAAAAATAAGACAAAAACCACCGATTTAACCCAAAAAATTTCTCCTACAGCCGCCGCCGCACCTCCCCTTTTTCATTTTCTTCTTCTTCCTCCTCTTCTTCTCCCGTGTACTACTGGACCTTCAGCCGTCATTACAGTTTGGGCGTCCGCCCTTCCGCCATCGTCGAGCATGTTGCGGGAATCATTCCGTCGCCGTCGCACGAAACCTATTCAAAAGGCTTGTGGGTATGCTTTGTCTCGTGAACGGATTTGTATTGGGGTTGGCTGTGTGTCATAAATTCAATTTTTATTTTAAACAAAAAAAAAATCGCTAATTGAAGGGTGTGTTCAGGCCTACAGGATAGGGCGCAGAGATTGTCGGATTAGTAGGCATGGTTTCGCGCCTCTCACACCCACTACAGTCTTTGTATAGTAAGTTCGGCCGAACTTAGACAAAAGAAACACACAACGTCCAAATTTCATACACCAAGTTTGATTACGGCGCACGCGCCACACGCGCTTCCGCGTCATCAAGAAAGGACAAGATCATTCTCGAATCTCAACAGCCATCTGACCGTTGATTATTTTTATATGTGTACGGTTAGGATGAAGCCACTTTGCGTGGCAGTATTGGCCGAATGTCACACCACCCACCCTCCTAATTCGTAATTATTGATCCATGCCTCACCCAACTGGACCCACCTCCATTATGTTCTTACAATATATATATAGTTGAGGCCGCGTTGTTCCACGTTCCGCTCGAACCGTCCATAGCCAAACACATGGCGAGATCACAGTAGAAGGCACAGCCGAAACACCCAAAGGCGAAAGAGATCAGGTGATATTACCTATTTTGTTGATTTCTCGGTTTCAACTTTAGTGATCGGCTAATGTAATAGTTCCCTGCAAACATCGAATTTTAGGAGGAGTGAGTAATGATGATACTGGAACCTTATTATTTCGTTAGTTGTTTGAGATGATTGGCGATTCCTTCACCTCCCGGGGTGTGATGAGATTCAGAGTGTAGTACTTTGGAGTCGCTTTCTGATTTCTGGTTCTAGGTTTTACTTTTCTTCAATTTAGTTAGAATTTCAGTTGGATTATTGGGGAACTGTTTGTTTGTGGCGTTCACATGGTTTCTGTGGGTAAACTGACAGTTGTAGTATTCCTTTTGTGTAGTTTTTGTGCTGATACATTTCCGTGAATGTGCTAAAAAGCGATTGAATCTCGATAGACAGCTGAACTGGGAGCTTGATGTTGTTTTAGGGCTTATGGTTTAGAGAATTAGATGCAGTTTTAATGCTATATTTCATTTGGGGAAAGTGACCCTGAGAAAGTTTGATGCTCTATTGATTCGATTTATGTGGTGATTGTGTTATGTATAGAGCCAAAGTGCGTTGGGATTTGCTAAGCTTGTGGTTGTTTATCTAGTTGGGAGAATATGGGGAGTAATTTAAATTTCAAGAACTTCGGAGCTGACCTGCCGGCGGAGATGGGCGGCAACGGAAGGCCGCCGGGTAATTTCCCATTGGCACGGCAGTCCTCGATCTATTCACTGACTTTTGATGAGTTCCAAAGCACTGTAGGAGGGGGGATTGGGAAGGATTTGGGGTCAATGAACATGGATGAGTTGCTAAAAAACATATGGAGTGCCGAGGAAAATCAAAATGTTGGGTCGACTAGCTGTAGCCACGAGGGGATGGGGAATTTGCAGAGGCAGGGCTCGCTAACTCTTCCTCGGACGCTAAGTCAGAAGACAGTTGACGAAGTTTGGAACGATATGTCGAAGGAATTTGATGCAGGAAAGGATATGAGTAGCACCATTGCCGGGATGAGCATGCCTCAGAAGCAGAAGACGCTGGGGGAGATCACCCTCGAGGAGTTTCTTGCAAGAGCTGGTGTGGTTAGAGAAGATACTCAAATGCCTGCTAAGCTGAACAACGATTGTTTTAACAGTGATTTTTCGTGTGATGCGAATGGTACGTGGTTGGGATTCACCGGATATCAGCAGCACCCGGCCGGAGCATCTGCAGGGTTAATGATGGGTGGGACGATTGCCGAAAGAAGTGATCAGAGAGCTAAACAGTCTGCTACTTTACCATTAAACGTAAATGGGGCAAGATCTTCGAGGCAGCCGCAGTTGGTCCAGCCGGCGCAGCCACAAATCCTTCCTAAACAATCGACATTGGCTTTTGGAGCCCCTCCCATGGAGATTCCGAGCAGTGGCCAGTTGGGGAGTCCGGGGATTCGGTGCAGCACTGTCAGGGTTTCCGATCCTGCAATAAAGAAACCGATGGTACAAAATGCGAGCGCTGCTGTTGGAGGGACGGTTGGTTTAGGTGTTAACGGCGTTCATGCTACAACGGGATCTCCAGCAGCTTCGTCGGATGGGCTTACGAGCAATGGCGATATGTCTTCAGTCTCACCGGTCCCGTTTGCGTTTAATGGTGGTGGTGCACGGGGCAGGAGAAGTGCAGCTTTGGAGAAAGTTGTCGAGAGAAGGCAAAGGAGGATGATCAAGAACAGAGAATCGGCTGCAAGATCTCGCGCGCGTAAGCAGGTAAAACTGTTAAAAACAGAACGCTTTTTATTCCTTTGAATTCATTACTCTTGTTTCATCATCTTCTTCACAGGCATACACGATGGAGCTCGAAGCCGAGGTTGCAAAGCTGAAGGAGGAAAACGAGATGTTGATGAAGAAACAGGTGGATGATCTGTTGTATCTTAATTCTCTTGGTTCTTGTCTTTCTACATTCCTAAATTTAACCTTCTCTGCTGAACTTTCTGCAGGCTGAAATTATGGAAATGCAAAAAAATCAGGTATGTGTAGTGTAGCTCGAAACAAATGTACATATCTTCAACTGCATATGATAAATCTCATGATTAAAAAGAAAAAAAGTGATCTTGTGATGAACTTTGGCTTGGCAGGCTTTGGAGACGATGAACCAGCAAAATGGGAATAAGAGAAGATGCTTGAGGAGAACACAGACAGGGCCATGGTAGTAACCTTTACTGAAATGCAGCTTTAGGACTGACTGTAAATAACGAAGTCTTGTGCTGTAGTAGACCTAATAGTATCTTAAGATCGTAGGTAGAATTCATGGATGTTTAAATTAGGTATTTCTGTTTTGTCCGTTGGCAGGGTTCAGTTCAATCGTCTGTATCAGTGACTGGCTGACTGTTGTATTAATTAATGTTTTTTCTTTGGTCCCTTTTGGGCTAAATGGGTATATGCCCAATATACTGTGGGCCTAGTAATAAATTGGGCCAGGCCTATTACTAAAACGGCCCAATTGCTTTTAATGATATCTTTGAAGTTTAAATGTCTAATGAGGAAAGCCCTAGTTTAGTTGCAGGCTTGCAGCTGAAGTTCATCCGTCAGGGGGAGGGAGGGAGATTCATTTCCGACGGCGACGGAGTGACTTGAGAAGGTAATTTCCTTTTCGTTCTTCAACTCCTCCTGGCCTGGCGTCTGCTGCTTGTGTTTATATGTGATACGATGAGTGCGATAAAGTCGAGATAATTGATTTGCTGCTGCGGTTTATATAGCTTCCCTTAGTTATTATCGCCTTTTCATGAATTTATGGTGTATGAAGAATTACGCCGGTTAGGTCCCCTTGTTGATTTGTTCTATCGTTGCACTGCGGTGTGGTATGAGAGAATTGAAGGTTGCTTTGGTTTTGTTTGTGCGTGTGTTTTTACTCATGGAGCTAGTTTGATGTTAGATGCAGACCTGTTTTCTTTTTATCTATTGTCCATATCATTTGATCCATTGTTGTCACTGAAAAATCAGAGTCCAAGTTTATTCGAATTCACACCACGTTGTAGCGATGTGTTTGTTGGCGTGCCATTGTCGAGGCATTCGTCCTAGTTTTTAAACTTTTTGGTAGTTGGTGATTGGTGGATGTGAAAGAGTTTTAGTGACATTTTTGCTATCCTTAGTGCCTTAATATTGCTGCTTTCTGTGTGGACAGTACTCAACGTTTTTTATTCTTTTATTTAGGGGAGTCACCATATTTGTATACGACAATCATAATGTTGAAGGTATAGTTTACTGGTAAAAGTTAACAAAATGTATAGAAGAGAGCTTCTAGTAACCTCTCAAACATCTCAGTAGCTATGTAATTGGCCTTAAAATAAGCTATGATTATATCACAGAGTATAAAAGCCATGTTAACAGTAAACAATAATACGGTATTCTGCACCGTACGCAGTACACACATATATGTATTCCCACATATATATATATGGATTGTAGAGGATTTTACTGTTATATTGTGAAGTGTCTTCATAACCACATTTGTATACATCATACATAAATATATGCTCTGTCCAGCAAGGAGTCGTCGGAGCTGCTAGAGTTGCATGATGGATACTGATTCTCCAAAAACAAGGGTTAATGTCACCATACAGCTTGGATCGGAGGCATATGCAGCTCAGGCAAACAAGGGCCTTATCTCCGAGCAATTGAGCTCAGTTAAGGAGCAGAGCATGAGCATTCTGAAGGCCTTCATTACACAACATAATATTCCAAACGATGTTCCGGATGAGCCGGAAGAAGAAGTGTCTTCAGAAGACGACGATGAAATTGCTCAGAAACCACCGGTGAAGAAGTCAAAGAAGAAGCAATAGTTTATACGAAGTATGTATGCTTGTTGAGAATTAAATTGTGTGGAAACACAGATATTTAAATGTCATATAGAGCTGCCATGAGCTTTGATGTTCCACTTATGCTTAGACGGGGTCTTTGGATATTGCAGAAATGGTTCGATGAATTAAGCTATTAACAAGTTGAGTCCAGCAAAATTGTTTGTATTCGTATTTTAAGTGTTTGTATTCTATTGTTAATGATTGCAGCTTCGGCTTGACTCATTTACAACTCGAGCCGAATCGAACAAAGTTCACTAACAAAAACCTATCTTATGGAGATAATAGCATCACTAACAAGCAAGCAGAAAACAAGTAAAATCGAGCATGAAAATGGGATACTCAATTCAAAGCCTAGTGCAGCCAAAACAGACAGAATGGAGGGAGGGAGAGAAGCATTCAAGTTATATATTTCAGCAAGGATAGCCAGAAGTACATACTTTGTCTTTCCAAGAAATCATTTTCCTCCTGTCCCGACCTCTAAACGACCGAGTCACAAATCCCCCACATACCGGCTTGCACAAACCAACTTCAATCACCGCGCACCTCTCCTCTGACGAAACTTCTCCGTTGCCCATGAACAGGTCGAACAACATAGCAAGGCACATCACTTGATGGCCTAGCACAAAGTTTTGTTGGTTCTCAGGAATCATCCTTACAAGGTGGACATTCACCTGCAATCAATGTTGTCCTACATTACATCATGCCTAATAACATTTAACATTATACTGAAGCTCATATATCCTTACCTCAGCCTCCATTGCCCGAAGCTCATTGAAGAATTCGACACCAATCGAATCAGAATAGTTCCCACCTTGTAAACAACTCTGTAGAGTCAGCTCAAAACAAGGAGGCCTAAGAGGATATTCCACGCTTATCTTCACCTGATCAATCGAACAAAATCTGTAAACAAATCGATAAAGTAAGGCCACAGCATAAATACATAAGTAAATCTAGGCTTAAACCTTGGCTTCTAATTTCACATTCCTGTTATGATCACTATCCAACTTCCGGATTAGAACAAGGCTGTATTCCTGAACACCGAAGTCGGCCCAAGAATTCTCAACCGGAGCCGGATCACCAAATAGTGCCTCCTCCACTTGGATTGGCTCGTCGAGTTCACTATCAGACTCCAGCAACAGTTCGACATTATCCTCAATCTTTTTAAAGCTTGGCAATTTCCCCTTGGTGATGGGAGATACAATACTCTTTGACATTAAACTCAGACTTCCAGAAGTCTCGAGGTTGGATCCTTTTGAAGGGTTAAGATTAACATCGTTAACAACAGCAGTAGCTGGAGCTAAAGATAGGAGTTCCCCATCTTCTGTTGCAATCTCTTTCTCTTCTTTGGACATGTCGATTTTTCTGTGTGTATTGACACTAGCAGGACCTTGAAATTGATCTCTCTCAGCAGATGGCGTAGATGCAGCAGTCGTTAACAACCAACCGTGCAAGTTACATCGTGGTGCATATGAGGTCCATGGAACATCCTCGAAGGTCAAATTTGGCCATTTAAGCCTCCTAAGACAGTCGAGCAATTCTCTGAAAGATGTTCATGTTGTAAAACATAATTAGGCCATGGTTATTAGCAATTTCCATGCACATTCAAGACATTTTAGAATAAATAAAGTGGGTCGAATGAAATGAAAATAAGACAGGTTTCAATTTTGCACGAAAGTAAAGTTAAGTGAGTTTAAGTTTCATATTACCCACTAACATTGGCCATGTGTTTTGATGACCATTCAGAGCAATCTAAATTAGGGAGTGACTCACCCGAGAGCTAGCTGAGCCTTTTTCCGATTACGAATCCTCTGCAAAACTGTCTGAACCCTGTTTTGCTGCCGATATGAGGATAGATCAGCTAAACCAGATACTCGCTTACTCACTCCATAGTTCAATTCTTCAGGATCTAAAACCAAAGGCGACAACTCTGGTAAAAAATCAATGCCCGCCAAATGTTGGGCCCATCTGTATGGCCGTGAAGTTCTCATTTTATCATATGAAACAGAATTTCCAACAGAGAGCTTGGCCGACTGAAAAATTGCAAAACCTTGGATTAAATCCTTGAATTATCAATGGAAACGAATCAGGTCAATTTAAAACACAATCACAAAACAAACCTGCTGTGGGAGTTCAAGGCCTGTGTCATCAGGAAATAAGTTGCACAAGACACTATTAGGAGGATCTTCTTCAGAATCCTCCACTCCTACACACACAGCATTCACTTTTATTAAAAACTCGAACTTCAAGGTGATGAGTTTGGCTGAATTTGAGTCTGAAGCATCGTCGTGATTTATTTGGAGAATCACTTTAAGTGGATGACTTTGATATAATCCAGACTGGTCAAGATTCTCCTTGCTCGGAACCTTCTTGGGCCGCTTCCTCCTCCTTTGACCATCATCTTCTTCATCAGGGGCATCTTCCTCTAACTTGGAGTTCTCCATGTCTGTTAACATACCTAAAAATTAAGAGATAATATAAAACATAGAAAGATATGGATAAATATACAGAGGCAACCAAATAAGCAACCACTTTTATTTGCCCAATATGGATTCTAACCCTGAACATATCATAGTGTAAGGAAATATTTTGTATCTCATTAAAATTAGGAATCATCAATAAGCTTGGTTACCAGAGTCCTTGTTAGCTAGTTGACGAGCAAACGCCTGGGCATCCTTTATGCTTCCAATGATCTCTAGCTCAATTTTGTCTTCAAACGCCTCCTTTTGTGCAAGTAACTGAGTGTAGATTACATATAGAGGGGGTGGAAGTAGCTCTGCCAATTGGTGTTGTTTAAGCTTCTTTGTGTGAAGAACTCCTAACTGATGCTGCACAGGCAACGATGCTTTCTTGAGTGCTTTGAGGTGTGAAGGAAGACTTGATAAAAATTGCTTCCTGTTAGCAATTGTTTCCTGCAGAGCTTTCTTTTCAAGTTCCAATTTCTCACGAAGCTTGCAAAGTTCTTTGCGCTGCAAGAAGAGGAATATATCAGTGCCTTAACATGGAGCATTCATGGATAAAAAAAATCACTCTTAGTACAGATTGAGAGAGAGTTGATAGATAAATGTATAACAGAAATGGCATTTCAACAATGTAAGGAAATTCACATTCACATCATTTAGTCGTAAGTAAACATAAAAAGTTAGATGAGTTACCCATCCAATGACCAGACGTTACTAGTTATCAATTTTGTATTCTGAATTTAGGACAATAACACCAACAAATGGCATAAGGCAAATGCTTTAAAATCAAAGATGTAACAGCATTATTCTTTACTTTGTATCCAAAGCCAAAAATGTTGTAGACAAGAATGATTTCAAACTTTTGGTAGGAGCAACATCTCATAATGAGAGAACTTACAATAAAATTGATTTGTAAACACGATCAATAGTAAAACTCGTTCAGACAGAAAATCATGAGTAGGGTAATGTCAATAAACTAGCACTGTTAAAGAAAACTCAGCAAATCAGCAGCACTAAATAAATAAATAACCTGGAAAAGCTCATAGTTGAGCCTTTTAAGCATCAAATCATGGGCTTCATCAGCTGAAAATGAGGGGCTTTTAATCTCGTCTGGTGCATCATTTACGAATTCCTCCTCGGGTACAAGTTTGATATCAGGGTACTTTGTCTTGAAGTCTTTACAAGCTTTTATTGCTTTGACATAGTGATTTTTCTCATACATTAAGTTGTGGAGTTGCAATGTTGTCAGGTCCACGGGCGCTTTGGCACGTTCCGTATCAGCTTTAACCCGATCTTCTTCAAGCAAGATGGACCTATTTGCCTGTTTCAAAACCATCCCGAGAATAAGCCTGTCAACCAAGAAATGCAAGCTTACAAAATAACTTACATTCACTGATCTTGCCCAATGAGCTACTTTCAACATTGAGCTAAAGATAGCACAATTCGAAATCGAAACTTTAGCACTTAGTTAAACGTGGATATCAACATCTATCGCCATTTCACATTCGAATAGGTGCCGTTTGAACTCTAATTTTCAATCCAAATCTCCCTTCAATTCCATATGCGAAATCATAACCCTTTCAATAAAATCAATTCTAACCAGAATGAGATACAATTAACCATAAGTTTCAAAATCATAGCAAACCCTAAACTCCAAATTTCGGGACTCAAAGAGCAAAGAAATTAAAAAAGAAAAAGAAAAAGAAAATCAACAGAATAATTGAAATGCATAAGACAAGCGCATCCACAAACCAACTAAACCTGACGTAGAGAGACAAAATTGAAGAGAATTTGAGCGACAAGTTCCCGCAGCTGTGATTTAGGTTCAATTCCTTTCTTAATACCCAACATCTTTGCCACAACTTCCTCCACCGAAGCCTTGCCCTGCCGCAACATGCCGTACAGCGCCGCCATGTCTACGTTCCGCTCCGGCAATATTTCGCCGGGCTCCGCCATCGTCACCCTCCCACACTCGCGTGGATTGAGTTGTGGGTGTAGGGTTTGTGTATTTTTGTATAATATAATACTCCTCCTTCCTACTCGAACGGGACTTGATAGTTTTGTTAAACTTTTTATTTGATTCTGTATATTGATTAAAATAAATTACAATTTTATAGATATATAATATTCCTTTGGTCCATAAATTAATATTTTAATTACTTATAAAATCGTGTAAATATATTTTAAAATAATAAAAATTTTGATAAAAAATGTATTAATACAATGAAATATTTATTTTGTCGTGATATCAAACTAAAAATAATGTCAAAAATAAAAATGACAAAATGAGAGCAGATCTACAGCTTAGTATATTGTAGGCTCACATAGTGTAAATACATATACACATATGTATCTATAGATCTACAAGGTGTAAAAAGATTGAGTTTGAGTTTAATTTGGATTTAAAATTTCGGTGTTTTTTTTAGTGTAATGGAATTTTTTGAGGTTTGAAGAATTTTATTAGATAGTAATTTGATAGGTGATAGATTCTGGTGAGATTTTTTTATTTAATTAAAAATAATTTATATTAAATATAAAAGTAATGGAATATATAAATAGTGAATTTTTTTTCTATTTTATTATTATTTTTTTCATCCGTAACTAAAGAAAACAGAATTTCGAATTTACTTTTAAGTCTTGTCTACAATTACATGATGAAGAACAAGCGTGTGTACAACCATACATGAGTCAATAGTCAGCTTCCAATTGATCCTAAAAAAGTAAACAAAAAAAATGCAGATAAATGTGCACTGCCTTTGTTTGTTGTGTGCTTCACATAACACCAAAACCAACATAATATAATCAATCATGCATGGCCGTGCTCGTCTTTTATAAAGTAATTGTTTTTCTTAGAAATTGAAACAGAAAAAAACAGACCACGGCCGTGCACAACTATCCATATTCTTCTTGGCTCCTATATGAAATCCTTAGCGAGGAATGAAGGTTGCGTTGGATTGGTATATATGATGGTCTTATCACAAATCTATACAAATAAATTTACGAAATCGACCAACCACTTAAATTCCAAATTAAAATATAGTTTAATTTTTCTTACCTCTTTACGCTCAACCATCGAAAAACCCCATCCCCTATCAACGTATGTCCCTAGACTCCTTCGCAGCAATCCTCTGCTTCACTCACCGACGAAATCGGTTAAATCCCACGATCCTTACTCTGTGTGACAAGGGGGAGAAGAAGACTTGGTATTGTGTCCCCCTAGTTCCGCCTAGCCCAAAATAGCGTTCTACCGTAAAAATGAATTGGAAATTTGGAAGAATTAATCCCAAAGAAACTCAACCATGATGTCCGAAAATCATGATGGACGCAACATTATAATTCTTGTGATTCAAAGCCAATATGAAAACAACATATTTGTAACATCGGACCATTATCTCACATAAATTATATATATATATATTATGTGAAATAATGTGATTCAGTTTATTCAGTCCATCCAATTTTATCATAAAAATTTAAAATCTTACACTTACATCTTCAAAAACTTTACCAAAACAATTGAATATTAAAATTTCACAAATAACATACCATACTTTTTATTAAATAAAAAAATAACAATAAGCCCATCGAAAATCCCAAAACAGTTTTACTGGGCTCTTCAGCATTTAATTATTTTATTATTGCGTAAGTTAATCAAATTCCGACATGAAATGCAGCTTTATAATCTGTAAAGAGAGAGAAGACGAAGAGAACGAAAATGCGAATCCTCACTGGTTGCTCTGTTCGAAGCAACATTTTTTTTTTTTTTCTTTTTCTTTTCTGACTGAAGCTAGCAGACAAACGATGATTTATTTGCATTCAATCCCTGACAGACAGACACCAAATTGAACCAATCCTCAGGCTTCCGATACTTTCATACACATATACATACAGCCCTTCCCTTGTTGTCCCGGCAGGGCCCTCTCCAGGCTTTAATGGACGAAAATGGCGAAAGGGAGGGCACTGTCGCAATCATAATCACAAGACTTGGAACGAAACGACGACGTACAGTGAGGCCCTGCCCTGCACTTGCAAGTTCTGCTAGCTGTTATATAAATGCCGGAGGCCACAAGTAAAGCTAATCCAATTCCAGTTTTGTCTGTCTCGCTGCATTTCCAGATCATTACATACATACATACATTTATCTATCTGGTTTGTAATTGACCCAATTTCTTGCCATAAATGTCCCCAGGCGTAGCTGTTCGAGAGACTGGAGTCGTCAAATTTGCAGTTGCATATATACATATATATATATATATGAAATCAATCCACCCCCCTTCCCCTCCCCTCCCCACTTTGTTAACAAACACCATCATTAAGACCATTCGAACCCCCACCCCCCACCCCCCCCAGCAGCAAGATTCGCATGATCAAAAGGCTCCACTTTTGAACAGCAATCAGTGAGATATACTGATATACATATATATATGTATGTATATGTACATCTGTAAAACAAAGTTTGTATTTTTGGTTCTTGTCCAAACCAATCTCTTTCCTTTCCTTTCCTTGTCTTTTCTCGGAGAATGATCGCGCATGGTTTTCAAGATCGGAGATCGGGCCTCAGGGCCCGACACATAATAAGCCCAGATTCTTCTGTGATTTTCACCGCTGATTCCAACGTGCGTGTTCTTCCCTGTTAAGATAGATCTCTCCTTTAGACATCATATATATATATATGTGTGTGTGTGTGTCCAAATGCATGTCAATCTTGCTTTTGCATTCATTAAAAGAGACAAATATGGAATCCCGCTACGATGGGTTTTGAATTTGGGGGATTATGTGGCTTTCTTCGTTCCCTTAAAAAATATCTGTTTGGTTTGGTTTAGAAATTTGAAATCTTCGATTTCAAACAGCATTTGGCAGGTCATCAATTGTCTGATGAAGTACTGCTGCAAAGTGGTCCAGATCCAATTCCAGTTCCAGTTACAAACAAATCCTCATTACCACCTAAAGGTTTGATTGAATTTGAACCCACTATCTCTTTGATCTAATCTCATCAGATTTCAAATTTGTTCCAACTTCGATTCTACTACACATGATCATAATCAGACAGCAGTGAGGATGAAAGTGTAGCCTCGGATTCTGCAAGAACCTCATTCTCTCGAGCCCTCAAAGGTATACATATATACATACATTATATTTGAATTCTGGTTTTTCGATCTCATCTGAATGTATATTCGATTAGAGTGTCAAGACAGAAGGTTATTGAGATCTGGATTCATGAACAAACAATCCTCTGCAACCCTGTCCGGAATCATAGGATTTCCGAGCCCCGGCACGCCGGATTATCATCGGAACATCAATGTTTCTGCGAAAGTGCTGCTGCCTTACAATAATGGGAAGGCTTTGCCGTCGAAATGGGAAGATGCCGAAAGGTGGATTAGTAGCCCTGCATCCAGACATGGTTCTGCTGTTAGAACTTCTTTCCAACAAAGGCTGTCTAAATCCAAGAGCGGCCCTCTCGGAGCTCCCGGGGCAACACCAAATTCTGTTGTCGATGGTTGCAAGAAAAGTTTGGATTATGTTGTAGGAATCGAGCCTTCCATCGCGAGGTCAATTAGCGTACACGGATGTTCTGTAATGATGCGGCGCCAGTCATCCTTGCCGGTGCATCAAGGTGCGATAGATATATTTGTTTATAGACCTTAATTGCCTCTCGAAAAATTCGTGATTTTGTAACCTTATTGATCGGTTAATTTTGTCGTGTAAAGATGATGATGTATCGAGAAAGGACTGTGCGACACAAGTGAGTCCGGGGAGACAGCCATCGATCTCTTTACCAATCGAACCCATTGTTGAAATGCAGAGCATTGATTCCTCAAAACCTGTAATCAAGGATGTTCCCGTCGACGAAAGGGTTACGGTGACAAGGTGGTCGAAAAAGGATGCTGACTGGAAAAGACAACCTGTGGAGGCTCCGGCAAAGACAAGAATTTCAAAGTATATATATATGTCTAGTTAGATTGATTTTCGTCCTGTTGGTAGCAATTCAAGATTGTTTTTTTATTTCAGGATTCAAAAGGAAGAAGCAAAAATTTGTGCTTGGGAAAATCTGCAGAGAGCAAAAGCAGAGGCGGCCTTAAAAAAACTTGAGGTAACTTGAGAAATCATTAACAATTGACACATATATATATATAAACATGTTTATGTAAGAATTCCAAATTCGTGTCAATTATTTGATGGATCAGAGGAAGCTGGAGAAGAAGAGATCATCATCAATGGAGAAAATAATGAACAAACTGAGATCTGCACAAAAGAAGGCCCAAGAAATGCGCGGCGCTGTAATTAATATCGACGACGGCGACGATAATAAGGCTCGTCAAACTGCAAGAACATTGGAGAAAGAATGGTCCTTGCAAAAGACTCGGATCGGCTGCTTTATGTGGAATCCATTTTAGAGTGTAGACAAGTTTATAAATATTTGAGCTTTTTGTCTGTATATCAAAAAGGCCTAAAAACCATCGATTCGATTCTGGTTGAGATTGAGTTTAAGGTTTAAGTGAACTTGCCGAGCCTGGTGAGATTGACATAATCGACAACAAAATGATCGGTTAATCCAGGAAAGACCAAAGCTGTAAGCCTAAACACCTTCATTAACCATTCTTCCCTGTACTCCTCGCCCTTCATCCATGGCAGAACGAAGCTTCTTATCAGTTCGTAACCTGCATTTATTATCTTCGGTATCGCCTGAATCGGCGAGAAGTAGTTCTTGTTTGGTTCCTCCTCCAAAACCTGCACCAAAATTAACTAATTAATTATAATTCGATTGTAACGAAATTTCGTTGATAAAATTGACCATTTCTAATGTCGTAAGGAAAAAAATGAATTTAGCGACCAAAAATTTAGTTACGTTTTTTTTTTTTTTTTTTTTTTTTTTTTTTTTTTCTTGTAGTTATATATATATAGAGGTAGATAGATATACTTATATGGATTTGTATATGTATATGCATATGATGACCTGGCCTTTGTATTGGCTGTTGAAATACAGACAGGGCCCGAAGTGCTTGAAGAAGAAGACCTTATCGTCGTAGGGCAACCTCGGAACAACGTCGTTGCAATAGACATACCTGTTGTAATTGACATTGTAGGTTTTGAATTTTCTTTTAATGTAGTGGCCGAATTCGTCGTCCCCGACTCTGGGCTGTCCGAAAGTGTAGACGCCCTCAAGCTTCTCCAGCATCAGATCTTGTCGGTGAATCGTCAGAACTGCTGCAAATAAAACTGCCATGGCGCCTCCCAGACTGTGCCCTGTCAGGATGAATTTGGCATTCTCGTTTTCGTCGATTAGGGTTTTCAGTTTGTCGCGGAGGGTGTAGTAGGCGTATGATTTCGGCGGCGGCGGCGATGGTGGTGGTGGCGGGATTTGCTCCGGCCAGCCTGTGGATTTTTGTAAGCCCAGGGCCTTCATGAAGCCGCCGTGGATTCTTCCGACATCCTTGAATTCGTACCAGGAGATGTCGACGTCCGTACGCCAGTCGTCCGCAGCAAACGGCTGCGTGCCTCTGAAGGCTACGACGATTAGGTTGGGATCGGCGGTTGTGTCCCGGAACATGATCGCCGACGTTGTGTTCAGTTCCTGGAAATCTTAATTAGGGCAAAAACCGATTCTTAATTCCCAAATTAAATTAGGGCAAAATTGGGGAGAGACACACACACAAAATCTCATGATGTCTGATCTTCATTGATAAATTAAATCCCAAACACCACGCCATTAGAACATGATAACTTTAATTTTTGTAATTACAAGTTATGGATAAAAACTTTTTTTGTCTTTGTGAGTGTATTAGTGTAAAAAACAATGACAATTGTGTAATAAAAATAAAAAAATAATGGTAGTTTTACGGTGATATAGTTATTTATGAAAATAAGACTATTGTTTTGGGACTGACAAAAATGATAAAAAACACTATTGTATTGGAATGCATGGAGTATATAAGAATACTTCACATGCTATTAGTTTATGTGTTGTATTTATATTATATTAACATATACTGCCTCCATCCCTAATCAAATGGATCATAAAAAATAATAATATTTTACTAGTTGTGTGTAAGAAAGTAATTGTACTTGTAATGTAAGGATATATTTGTAATTTAAGTAAAATTTAGGAGTATTTTAGTATTAGTGTACGATTACTTTTCCAAAATATTAAAGTAATATTTTGAAATAGGACAAATAAAAATAATAAAAAAATATTTTAAATTAAGACTGAAAAAGTACAATGTACATACATAATGTGTTTTTCAGCACAGTACTGAATTGGCCGCCATATATATATATATTGAGGGTTTAATGGACAAAGAAAAGGGGATTAATCTAATTAATGAGTTTCATGGACTCTTGACGCATTGAGATTAATAATTAATTAAGCAATATATATGCTTTACGATTTTAAATTTTATAATTAGCTGGATTTGTCAGGTTAATCAATTAAAGTAATAAACGTCGACCTGTTCACATGCATGCTTCCCCAAATAATATTATCCAGTAAATTAATTAATGAAGTATGGATCTTACCATTCCAAAAGTTGTAGAAGCCCAAGAGCTCCATCTGTATGAAGAATTCAAATTAATCAGAAGAAAGATTGCAAAAACTTGGAATTCAATATATGTTTCTTTTACCCAAAATTCTTAATTTTTACTATTTGAACTCTGCTTTTTTCGAAAAAAATATCAATTTTTTTTTCTCATAAAACATCTTATCATATATTATTTTAACGCCAAACTCAAACCAATTTTTTTTCAAACTCATCTAAAAAAACATAAATTCAAGGTGATCGAATTAGGGTTCGTAAGAATAGTACTAATTACCTGCCAACGATTTGAAACAACTTTTTGAACAAAAGATTGATTTTCATATGATAATTTGGCTCCCATCATGGCCAGAGCTGCAAAATATTCTTCTCTTACAACCATCTTGGTGTCCAAATTCAATCTCTTGTCCAAATTCCCGACCAACGATGCAAATCTCTCCGATTCCTTATCCGGCCTCACCAACCTCCCTAAAACACACTCATTTATTAACATGCATGCAATGAATTAGAATAAACCAGGTATTTTTACTCGGTATAAATTAGCAAAATAGTATGAACCCTATATGTGATTTATGAGAATTACATGAAATCCCATTATTTAAAAATCGGATCTAACTTCCTTATAGTTTCAGAAATTCTTCATGAAATGGTGATTATTTTAGACACGTCTCAATTTTACAAAGATATTTCATAAATTTTATTACTATAAAATCACTATTAACTAAATGGGTTAAACGACATGGTTTTTTAAACTATGGAATTTTAAAACAATAAATTAATAAATTTCAATAAACTATAGATTAATGTTACATCATACAAATTTCAATAAATTTGAAATTTTAATAGAGTATAACAAATATTTACAAACATGAATACAAATTTCAATGCCCAAAATCTATATAAATAGGCCCCCCAAAAAATAATTTAAGCTCTAAACAACTTCGGACTTTCAACAACCTTAATGGCAAAGTTGAAGGCCGGTGTCAATAATATCCATACTTCATATTTAAAATATAGTCGAAGAAGAAAATTGAAAACCTGTGAAGAGGTTGGAGAAGAGGGACAGATAGCCGCCATTGAAGGCCGGAAAATTGAGGAACATCTCGAGGGCGGACCCCGCGGCGGCCATTGGCTTCTTCAAGTAGAGTAAGATCTTCTGAAGCAATAGAGAGATGAACACAATCCATCTATGTCTGAAACTCCTAAGTTTACCTGAAGCAGCTGTCTTCTTAGCTTTGAAGAAATTCCTTTGCCCTAAATCATTACACCATAGTATTCTTACGAAATCTAAGAAGCTAGCCTCTTCAACCTTCAGCAAAAAATAGTTCTCACAGAAATCTTCTTCTTCTCCACCTTCAGCCATTCCAAAAAAGGTTGAACTTTTTGGAACTTTTATGCGTAGGAATGAATGAGATTAATGATGTTAGGGTTTTACTTTTAAGAAAAATGGAGAACAGTCATTATCATAATGCTGGTGGATCATACTCAGGATTAAGATATATATATATATATATATATTTAAAATACAAGCAAACGAAAACCGTGGAATATAATATTGTTTAATTAAACGTGTAGTGATCAATATATGCTTAATAGTAATTAAATATTTAGTTATTCAACTATATCATAGTAATTAAATAATTGTACAATTGCGTTGAGTAAAATGGAAGCATCCCCCAAGCTTCTTCAGTTGGATTTGTAACATTTTGATTTGGACTTATTTATCCTTTTTATTTATTTTATTTTTACTGCAAATTGTTACTTTTCGAATTAATCTTTCTTTATACATTTGGTTTTCCCTTATTCACTTATTTTACACGCATAAACTTTTCTCTATATATTTGGTTTTCTTTCTTTCCCTCTTTTTCTACTCTTAATATTGTTTCCAACATAAAAATAAAAAATAATACTCCCTCCGTTACGAGTTTTAATAAAAGTGAGTAATAATTATTAATTATTTTTTATAGTAAAAAATAGTACAAAAGTGGAATAATTTTTTATTAAAAAGGAAATAAAAATATTTTTTTATAACAATTCAAAAAAAAAAAAAAGTGAACATAAATTTGAATATTAAAAAAAATGAACATAGATTTGAATGACGGAGGATGTACAATAATAAAAAATAAAAAAAAAAAAGAATTATGGAAACTCTGAACTCTCTTTTGGCTATGAGATTAAATGGCTATTCCATTAAAAACAAAATAATTTATTTTTATATATTACTCCCTCCGTCTCAAACAAAGTGCAACATTTATTTTTGGCATGAGTTTTTAAGTAGGTAGTATTAAGTAGGATAATTTAAAAATTAGGTAATGTGATGGTGAGAGAAATATATATTTTATTTTTTTATTTGAACGATGTGAGAGGATAAAGTGTGTGGTAGAGATTAAGTATAATTAATTATTTCTTATTTTAAAAATGTTGCAGGCGTTTAGGACATACCAAAAATGAAATATTGCAAGGTAATTGGGACGGAGGGAGTACTTATGACCAATAAAATACCAATATTAAGTCATAATAACACTATTCCAAAGAAATTAATCATTTTATAGTGTTAGTAAATAGCCTGTGGATCCTATTTTTGTTTTTAACTAAATCAAGGTTGACAACGGGTCATGGGCTAATTTGGGTTGCTTTTTATATTTTCAGCCCAATTAAGACAAGCCCACTTCAAGATTCATTCAATGTGGCCCAAATGGATTAGGCTGATCCCCGAATGGAAAGTTATATTTAGGACGATACTCTTTTAATCAGCCAAAATTATATTTATTCTCTCTTATTCCAAAGTATTTTTCTTACCATTTTTGTTCGTCTTACTACAAAGTACATATTTTCTAGAAAAAATAATTATACATTAATATTAAAATACCTTTAACTTTTATGTCAAAACTTTTTGCTCACTTCGACTGACCAATAAATACTATTATTTCTTAATTTACTATAAAATGATTATTTTTAAAATGGACCGGAGGGAGTATAACTATTTTTTGTTAAACTTATGTAAAATTTATTTATAATAAACATTTCTATCCATTTATAATTTTATTACTCTTTCTTTAACAAATAATAATTATTTTTTACTATTTTTTTTTTAATTCATCCTATTAAAATATTATTATTTTTTAATTCCGTGTCTAATCAAATTTACCGGACAAGATAATGTATACGTATAAGAATTTAGAAGTACATACATGCACACATGTATTAAAAAGGGTAGGCATGAAGAATTCATAATACAATGTACATGGAATTGTAGAGACACTATAGTGTGTGTGTTTGTCCGAAATTCAGAAACCAAAAATTATATATATATGTGGAGAATAGACAATGCATGTACGTCTCCTCCAAGACACTAATTCGTTCATGCATACACACTACTACTGTGTATGAAATATTGCATTAATTATTAATTTCAAGAACCCAAAAATAAATACAGAGAAAAGATCATATGAAATTTGAAGCAATCTCTTCAATTTAAATAATGTGTAATCAAAATCCAATAAATAAATAAGTATATACATTATATATAAAATCCACCACGTTATAAAGTAGAAGATAAAAAAAAATTAAATTAAATTTAATATTATTATTACATACGGTATATGAAAATGAAGAGTAGGATTCAATGCACATAACAAGAAGAAAAAGGGTCCATGTCCTATTAACTTAGGAAAGTGGCCAAATGGCAAATTGGCAATGCATCATCTTCTGTATATATATAATATTCATGACATTAATTAATTCCAAATATTAAATAATATATATGTATATATGCACTGGAGATTTCCCACATGCACATGCCTTTTCTTCCCCCCTTTAATTTTTTGACCACTTCTGCTTTAATATAAATTTTTATAATAATAATAATAATATTATTATATGTAATTCATTTTACGATGATTATTTAAATAATAATTTAAATGGGTTTTTTAGTAATGAATAACATCCATTCATGACCCTTATTTGCAGACACAAACACATATGTCTAAGGGAAGCAGCCCTGAATTAATTATTTTATTCCTTATCTTTTATTTAAATTGTTTAGTGCTTGATTGCTACAGGACAAAATGCTCAGGACCTGTCACAAGTGAAATACTTTTATTATTATTATTATTATTATTATTACAAAAGCTAGTACAATTAATTAAGGTCATTCAGGATTTGTCCTTGTCCAATGATTATGTATTCTCATTATCATTTAGTTATTTAAATCTCATGTGATCATCGCTTATATATATTTAATTGATCTTATCAAACTAGATTTATTTTTTAATTAATAAATAGAATCAGGAAATATATATTACTAATAATAATTGAAGCATGGCATGGCCAATGATTCATGAATCATCCCGCCATTAATGTCAGCAAGAGTGGCTAAATTAGGCCAAGTATATATGTAAGCATTAATTAATTAATTAATTAATTCAATATTAATGATCATTTCATTAATTAATCCGACGAGCAGATTTGAATCCTACGGTAAAGGGTGAGCCCATCGGACGGCTGAGAGCAACCGATGTAGAATCAATGATCCACGTGGCAGAGCAGAGGTTATGATTGGTGCTGAATTGTAAATCACCACCGCAAAGCAGCCAGTTCTTCACGTGAATATCACGTGCGTAGCCTTTGCCTCGTAGATTTGATGATCATACATATGATGCCTTTTATTACACCCCTGGGGGCCTCCATTCGACCTAATTAAATGCACTTTATCATTATTGCTTTCTATAATTTCTTTCTTCTTTTAAGAAAAAAAAAAAGAAAAAAGAAAAAAATCATTCATAAATTCCTAATCAATAAAATTAAAAATGAAGGATGAAAATCATTTTAATAACCGATTGAATTAAATTTCAAAATGATTATTATTACAACAATATAATATATACTAATTAAATTTTATCTAGATTTAATTCACTTTTTTTTTATGCTTTTTATTAAAGTTTATCTTCAATGTCTTGTTGAGATTTATTACATTGTGCTGTTGATCCATTATTAAATGTTCAGCTGCATCAAATTATTTATATCCAAATTTTCAATGCTTGAAATATAAGTGTCATTTTTTATCTATTTAAAAATATAATCATATTTATATATTCGATTTTATTTTATTTTTTTTTTAAAAAAAATGGGTAATAGAAAATACGTCCTGTGCGAGGCATTGAAAATTTTAGGTACTATTAGAGAGAGAGAGAGAGAGAGAGAGAGAGAGAGAGAACAAAAATAAAATGTCAACTCCAATTCTTGAAGTGTCACTTCAATTCTAATAAGCAAAGAATAATAATTTGAGCATGCATATTTGTGGAGTATATATATAGCCAAAAGACTATACTTGCATTGGTCCTAAACCTCAAAATACCCAAAAGCTGATGTTATGTTTGTGTATATATGTAAATCATTTTTAGTACTATTTATTTATATTTTTTTTAAAAAAAAAACACTAGCAAATATATATATATATTTTATAAAATATCATATTAAACATTTAATATTTTACTCATTTCAAATGGTGTGTTTTATGATTTTAAATTTATTTCAACATTATTCAATCTTTATTAGTTTTTTTTCATTTAAATTTATTTTTACTTTTTTTTTTATTGTTATCTAAATTTATTTCTATTTTTTAATAAAAAATATAATTATTTTACTTTTTTTTCTTATAAAAAAAAAGTTTATATTTTTATTCATTTTTTTAGAATTCGTATCCACACAAATGAGAATAAGATTCGATGATGGAGGGAGTATTGATTTAAAAAATATTAAATCAAAATACTCTTTAAATCAAAATTCAAACAAAATAAAAATTTTCCAAACTCGAAAAACTTCCAAAAATCATGAGTTTGTTTAGTTGGGGTTGAAATTTATTTGAAATCTAGTATTGATTCGAATTTTGTTTAAATAGTATTTTGACGCAATTTTTTTATATAAAAAAATATTTTTTTATTATAAATCGTGCGAGGCTAAATAATAGCACTCCCTCCGTCTACCTCTAAGGGTCACATTTATATTTTGCGTCATTGTACTTAACATTAAAATTATCCTTATATTTGTATAATTTTTTGTACAAATGTCCTTCTATTAGTATTATAAGACACTAATTGAAGTATTTTTGCAATTTTTTCTTAATTTGTACTACATTTTGATATAATAATTAATATATTCAAATATCAACACGCAAAAAGTAAATGAGACCTTAGATTCAGATGAATGTAGTATTATTTTGGTATTAAATCACAACCAAACACACCCCATATATTTAAATAATGTAAATTTGTTTATCTAATTAGTTAACTCTTTTATTGTTTATATTTCAATTTTCTTACAAAAGTATTACATTAGCGTCGGAGTTCACCCATGACCTCACAGCACGAGTCTATCTTCGTACCACCAGTTCATCCCTTAGGTTACTTATTCATTACTATTTTATGTTGCAATTTCAAATTAATCTAGAGAGTTTGAAATAAAAATATAACATTAATTAATTGTTTAAAAATTTAAGTAAATAATGTGAGTGGTAAATAAATGAGCATGGATGTAATGAAGGGTTTGGGTAAGAAAATTTGAAGGACCTACAAGTTGGCAGTGCAAGAGGCATGTGCTTGGCAGTTGACCCCATAGATGCCATTGCCATTGCCATTGCCATTGCCATTGCCATGGAATTCCTCCAAACAAAACACTCACTCACTCACTCACCCAACTGGTCCCAATTCTAATCACTTTATTGCACACATCAATGTCACCATCTATCCCAACCAGGATATTTTTATTTATTTTATTTTATTATTTTTCTTAGTAATTCTTACATGCCAGAATTTGCTGGTCTGTATGTAGTCTGTACTGTAATAATTAAACCCACCATAATATTCAGTGTTGCCGGTTGATTGATTGGTTGATTCCTTTCTACTTGAAGACGATAACTGCGCGCACGGAAAATCACTCAAGATTAAATTTGATTCTGCATCAGAAACTGGGAGATTAATTAATTATGGACTCCCTGTACTGTTCAAGAATTAATTTCACCGGAACGAAGAAGATGAATGTAACGACGTCGTTTTGTGTTGTACTGTTCATTAATTAATTTCACCGGAACGAAGAAGATGAAGGTAACGACGTCGTTTTGTGTGTTCTGTTCAATGATTAATTTCACCGGAACGAAGAAGAAGATGAATAGACGACGTCGTTTCGTGTGTACTGTTCATTAATTAATTTCACCGGAACGAAGATGATGAATATACGACGCCGTTTTGTGTGTACTGTTCAAATTCATTTCACCTGAACGAAGAAGAGGAATATAACGACGTCGTTTTTGTGTGTACTGTTCAATAATTAATTTCACCGGAACAAAGAAGAAGATGAAGGTAACGACGTTGTTTTGTGATACATGACAGTTGATTAATAATTAATTAGAAATTAGGATTTACGCATCCATCCGCCTGATGAGGAAAATATTTTGCCGGAAAGTAGCTGCCGGCGGCGGACATTGGAACAGGGAAGCCGCCGGAGATTCCGGCAGGCGGCGGCGGCGGAGGAGGGCGATTGAGGGCCACGCGCTCGAGTGATTGGACCTGGTTTTTCAAGAACTTGACGTAATGGATGGCCTCATCGAGCATGGAAGCGGTGTCCATTTTAGTCCCGCCGGGGACGAGTCTCTGCAAAATTCTGATCCTCTCGCTTATCCTTTCCCGGCGGTGGCGCGCCGCCACGCTCTGCGGGTCCGTCGAGATCTTCACGTTTCTTCTCTTGGGCGGCTTTACAGATTCCGGGTCAATGTGGATCGGCTGCATCGCCGCTATCCGGAAAATCATCTCCCGAATCGCCGCCACCGAGTTCCGCTTTTCCGGCGAATGATGAAACTCGTCGTCCTGGAGCGCCGCCGCGTGAGTCTCGCCGGAGAAGGAGATCGAGTGGTGGTGGAGGTTCGTGAATGCAGGAGCAGACGGGGAGGAATTGGAAGAGCCCTGGAGATTTTCAAGGACGACAGCCGCCATGGAATCCTCGATGCTGTTGTTATTATGACATCCTTGGTGGCTGCTAATAAATTCCTTGTCCATCTGCATAAACATCATCTCCATTTCATCTTCTTCAGATGCAGATGCAGATGCAGATTTCATGAAATCGATATCCATGGCTACCTATGTATTGCAATTTGAAATTTGATTTTGGGGAATTAGGGCAAGAAGAAGAGAGTGGGAGTATGAGTAATGTGTATCAGAAGGCAACAATGGAGGAATTAATGGAATAGTATAATTAGATTGAATTTGGGAATTGGGAATAATATTGTGATATATACTGTAACCTATATATACATACATACATTACACACCCATATATATAAAATTATTTAATTAATCAATTGAGGTCAATTATAATAAAGTTGGTGACCTTTTTCTTTTTCAAATATACATATATATCTATATATATATTTTTTTATTTTTTTAAAATAATAAAATAGGAATTAATATAATCAAGGTGCTGTTTCTTGAATTAGAAAGAGAGAATAATAATAAAAATGGGGAAGCAATCTTTAGCTGTCGGTGCTGAAAGAGGAATGCATAGTGAGATGTTGGAAGCTGGGCAATGTATGTATTCACGACGGCAGCTATAATACTGAATTTAATTTAAAATTTAATATAATAATATATTTTTTATACAACACACATTTTAAATACGAGAAGAATATATATTTTTATTTCACTCAATATATAATGTGTGTAATAAAAATATGTGTTATTTTTAATTATGAATATGATGAATGTTGATTATTACTTCTGGCTGTTAGAAAAATCATGCAATGTCTTTTTAATTGATGGAACCAATATTTACCTATAGTGTGTATATTGTATATGAGATGTTTATTCAAAAACTATACAAGTTGTTGAATAAATTTATTGCATATGTTAAACCCATATGCAATTTTTCTGACATTAGATACGATTGAGATATACAATTTGTAGATAATCAATAATAATAATAATAATAATAATAATAATAATAATAATAACATAATTAAAGATAAATTAATCTTCTTAAATATGCATCATTAAATTATTCTAAGCTTATATTAGTGTTAAAAGATCAATTTTTCCTTTATTAATAATTAATCTAAAACTAATCCTAAAATATTGGTATTATGGATACTTACATAATTATATTAATTGTAATAAAATTTAATTAGTATAATTATGCATGCAATACTCCTTCCGTCCCAATCTAAATGGATCGCTTGGGTCTGTAAAATAGTTTTTATGTTTTTCTTTTTTTTTTTTACTTGATGTATAAATTAATTATAAGTATAATAATATACTTTTATTTATATAAAATTAGAATTTTTTTTTTTGATATTAATGTCTGAATATTTTTATTATAGTATAAAATTAATATTTTTTAATGAACAAACACAAACGATAAAAATAATATTTTAATTTATAGCAGAGGTCCACATAGTAAATGGCAGAGATGCTGGTTATGCTCTTTATGTAGTTTAGTTTATTTTTTATAATTATAGAATTTAATATATATATATATATTTTAAAAAAAAAACCCATTTATTAACTTAAAAACTTATAAATTTAAAAGGAAGAGTATTGAAAATGAAGAAATATGACTTATTTTTTAAACTTTGGTTTAAATTTGAGACTATCTCCAACTAATTTCTTCGTTTTTGCAGTAGTTACAGTTTTATCTACAGTTTTTTTACTCCAATCGTAAACTTCAATTTTTCACTCTAAAAAATATATTCCCTGTATAAACACAATTTATTCAAAAAAAAATTTTATTTTAAAAAAATGACAATATATATATGTTGGGGTCATCCAAGCTCTTCTCAATAATTTCAATCCCCAACTTAGATAATTAATTAATACTTAATATATATTGTTCATCTTCACATTTATTTAAAAAATACTTATAATAATGTAAATAATGGGTTGCGTAATGCATAGATGATATGCTATGTGGCGTAATCTAATTAGCACAATAATTAAGAGGGGCCCAACCAGAGCAAGTCTTCTGGAAGCTTCAGCAAATTAAAACAAAGTTGATGAATAATGTGAGGTTTTTGAAATAAATAAAATTTTACATAAATATAAATATAATAGTTTAAAATAATATTAAATTTATTTTATACTACAAATTTTGAATTAAAGTCGGGACAGATTGAAATAGATAACTAACTGGTGGCACACTATACGAGGTCGAGATCAGAGTTACTGACTGCAACGGCTTCCAAGCGCTTGCCTTACCATTTAATTTTCAAATATACTACTCCATGTCACTTTTAATGTCTAATTTTATATAGCTATAGAAAAGTTTATGTAAAATATAATTAAAAAATACTCTCTCCCTCCAAATACAATAGTCATGCTTATGCTTATTATTTTTGTTCGTCTTAAAACAACAGTCTCATTTCTATAAATAATCATATTACTATAAAACTATATTTATTTTTTCTTTATTATTACACAATTGTCACAATTTTTTTACATTAATACACTCATAAGGACAAAAAAATCTCTTATCCATACTTTTTACCCACTACTAATCCCGTGCAAATACAATCCAACATATAGTTTTGGGACAGAGGGAATAGTATATTATAAAAAATTAGGTACTATATAATATAAATAATTATAAATTAAATAAAAATAATAATAATTTAATAAAAATTAAAAAATACTAATTATGAAATTTAAAATTTAATTAAATTGTATAATTATTTTTTTTTAAAAAAAATAATAATAAGATGAAACAAACAAAAATAAAAATCGTGAACATATAAAATGGAACAAAAAGAGTACACCCTCGTAAATAATTATACTCCCTCCGTCCAGCTAGAAAGTATACATGTTTCTATTTTGGGACGTCCAATTACAAAGTAACCATTTCATTAAATACCTCATTTTTTTTACAAATACCCCTATTTTACATCACATCGTTACTTTTATACCAAAAAAATAAGGGCAAAAATGTCATATCACTACTTTTATCTATCCACTATAATTAAAATATTATTATTCCTTAATCTCCGCGCCAAAAATAAATATATACTTATTTAGTGGACGGAGGAAGTATTATTTTTTCATTGATTTTATACATAATTTATTTATAATACATAATTTTATTATGTCAATTTTAATAAATAATTTGTCATTTTTAAATAAAAAATAAATATTGTAAAAGAAACAATTTTTCTTTTTAGAAAAAAAAAATTAAATTAGAATTTTTCAATATTTTATAAAGTTTAGAAATTTAAACTGCGTTTCACTTTCTTTAAATATAACATACTAAGCTGTAAAATAAATAAAATGATGACGAGCTCGACTTGGTTCGTCAAGATCTTGTTTTTCAAGTTAAATAAGTCGAATACAAAATATATACTCCTTTCGTCTAGCGAGGGATGAACTTTTTTATTAGAGACATAATTTTTTATGTAGTGTAAATTAGTAAGTTATTAATAATAAATTATGATATTGGTTTATTACTTTTTATATGAATAATATTATTGGTATTTTAAAAAATTTTAATATTATATCTTGAAAAAATATATGCAATATGGATATCATTTTGTAGATAATTTTCTTTTTTTATTTATCATTACCATAAATTAGTTTAATAAAAAATGAGGAGTCTTAAATATAGATAAAAAAAAAATTATGTCAATTGAGGAGAGATATAGAAATAAAGGAGTTTTGAATAAGTAAAATGTTAGAAGTTTAATTAAATTGATTTATGTTTGTTAAGTATGTTTAAGATTGATAAAGTTACCAAAAATTGAAATAGGTCATTTTTTGTGAGGCGTATTAAAAAGGAAAATCGGTCATTTATGACGAGACGGATATAATATAATTTTGACTTGTTACATTCACAAAAAAATTTGAACTTGTTCATGAAACGATCGATATTATTTATTAAAAAATTAAATTAATATATTTATATTTAATAAGTATTTTTTTAAATATTATATTTGATTTTAATTTTGTATTTAAATTCATTAATAAAAATTTATAAATAATGGTAATGGAATAAAATAAAATAAATAAAATATATTTTTTTTCTCTTAACCAACCGTATCAAATCGAATATGAATTAAAAATAAATAAAAATCACTAAAACCGAGCACAAATAAATTTTTTAATTCGTATCTCTTAACTAATAAACACAAACAAATCGAATTGCTAACGAGCCAAACTTGAGCATGAAAAACTCAGCTGAATTTGGCTCATTATAAGTCTAATTATCATTCACTTCCTCTTCACTTAAATATCAATTTTCATTTATAATTTATGTGCGTATTCCATTATTAATTTATCATTACTCTCACCAAAATATTGTCTTGTATTTAATTATTGACCCATTATGGTTTTATTTTCTTACATAAATTTATTTATCAATATAATATTTTTTTAAAAAAAATCTATTATTGTTACGGAAATTCCCAAGAAATTAAGATGAAATAACAAAGACAAAAGAACACAAGATTTGGTAACCCAGTTCGATCACGATGATCTACGTCTGGAGGCGCTGCCAAGCCAGAAATTTTACTATAAAGTACGCATGCACATGTTAAGGTGAGAATACATGGATATTTATAGCCTAAGCCTTTGACATTAATATCCAAATCATATCCCTAGATTTTAGGATATAATCAGGCATCAAATCCCAACAATCTCTCACTTGAAGACTGATTTCATCTTCCACTTCAACATACCTCATCCAATCTCCACTCCCCACCATTCGGTGTTATGATTCGAATCATTCATTTACCTACAATTTTCAGTGTCTCATCATCTGCAAGATAGATAACACCAAAATTACGTGTGGTATAGGATTCCATGATTCCCGAATCACTGCATAAGTGGAATGACGCTCCTGAGACCAAAATCCATGACTTCATTGGACTGCTGACGCTCAGAATCAGCGCATCGGATATCTCCTCCGTTGCGTTTGCTGAACCCTGATCCTTCTCCGGCGCCCTGCATTGTCGTTTCAAGTGCCCCTTGCAATTCCAACATACCACCTGACTTGCATCTTGTTTGTCCTTATTATTCGGCTTCAACTTTGACTTGATCTTCACCATTTCCTTTTGCCTCAAATCTAAATTCAGTCGAGACATTCTCCCAAAGGGTTAGTCGAACCGCACTCATCGTCTTCCTGTCGATCTTCTTGTATTCGGCTTCATCCATGTCTTTGGATTTCTCCTTCAATACCGCATCTAGATCTTTACCATTCATGTAATCTTCTATATGCATATTTTAGAAACCGAAGTTCACACCATCGAATACCTTGACAACATAACGATCACCCATCTTGACTCCCACAAACAAACCCAAGGCTCACTTGATATGAAGAGCACATCTCTGATATCTTCTCCGCTGCTGCGTTTGCCGAAACCCTTATCCTTCCCTGCCTACCTTGCACCACCTATCACAAAGGGACCCGCTGCTTGACCTACCAGTCGAGACCGACCCAACACCGCCAGGAAACTTTCGACACAAGGCACTTCTGCAAGTCACAAGGGATTCCCACAGCCACAATCAATATCCGATGCCTCCCAATCCACCTTACTAACGAACCAAGCTCTGATGCCACTTTGATACGGAAATTCACAGGAAATCAAGATGAGATAATAAAGACAAAAGAACACAGGAATTTGGTAACCCAGTTCGATCACGATGATCTATGTCTGGGGGCGCTGCCAAACCAGAAATTTTACTGTAAAGTAAGCAGACACATGTTAAGGTGAGAATACATGAATATTTATAGCCTAAGCCTTTGACAATAATATCCAACTCATATCTCTAAAATTTAAAATATAATATCCAAATCATATCCCTAAATTTTAGGACATAATCAGGCTTCATATCCCAATAATTATCAATTTATTTGAAACTATTCAAATGTGAAGATAGAATATTATAAAATCTATAAACTAGAAATTTAGATTCATCCGTTTAGACTGTTTTTTTTTTTTTTTTCAAGTTTTAGAAAAAATTTAAAATAGTAAAAAAATTAAATATTTGATATAATATTATCTCGGAAAAAAATATAAGGTAATCTTTTTTTTTAAAAAAAATAAATTCTAATGTCAAAATTTGTGAAAATAAATTATTAAGATATAAAAATATTTTTAATATTAATTATAATAATATAAAATTAATTGTATATTTTGTGAGTGAGAATGAGTAATTCGAACAGAGAAACATGTTCCTTCTCTGCAATAACAGGATCATACAATTCCTCGGGAGACAGATTCTGCTGTTCCGTGGGGTGGGGTGGGTTTTGTTTTATTTTATCTTATTTTTATTTTCTTTTTCTTTATATATATTATTTTTTACATGGCATTATATCTTTATCTTATCTTATCTCCTCTCCAATATATCCCACATGATCTTCTTAATTCATTCATTTTTATACCCTTCAACTTCACCTCCGTGTATCTACAATTATTTCTTTAACAAGTAACAATCACTGGATAATAATAATAACACACGTATAATAATATTTAGTATAAAAAATAATATTTTTTTATATAAAATATAATTACAATTATTACAAATTAAAATAAAAAATAATAACAATATAAATAAGTTTAAATTTTAAAACACAGAAAAAATATGTATTTATATAAAATTTATTTATATTAAAAAAATTATGCGTAAAAAATAAATATTACCAATTTTATGGAACGAAAGTAATATATATTTTTTAGGGCTTGGGCAAGTGGCCCTCCAAGCCCATTTACATCCGTCCATGGTAACAACTATGGCCTCCACATACACTCATTTTCACTTTCTAACTAAAAAAATAAATAAAATAAAATAAATGGAGGGTCGTGAAGCTTCCATAGTCTTCCTTGAAGAATACAAGCATCCCAAGTGGTCCACTATATATATATATATATATATATTATATAATAGACATTATTCGAATCAATTCCAATTTGGACTTATCGATTTATATTTTTTTTATACTTGTCAATATATATATATATATATATATAAAGAACAAAAAATTGCACGTAAAATCAAACGATATAGCCCAGGATTTCAATTTGCCAGTTGGGCCTCGTGTCCTAGGCCTGATCTTAAGCACTTCTTTTTATCAAAATATTGGAAATTCTAACATTCAATTCAAACCAAATTAAAATTTATAATTTGATTCTGACTTTTTGAATTTTCGGATTGGATTAAATGAATTTTTTTTTATAAGTTTAAAAGTTTTGACTAATAAATTATTTTAATATTAACTTATAATTATCTATATTATAAAATAAATACTTATATATATATATATTTAAAATTCCTCATTTTTTTATAAAATTAATTTTAAATATATTATATAAAATTTTATTATCTAATAAATGAGATCCATACATTTTATTAGGATATAATGTTAAAAATATTTAAATACTAACAATACTATTCATTATTGATTAATAAATTATTTTAATATTAACTTATACTATTAGTTTTGTTTCTTTTACCTTTTTTTTTTTTTTTTCACTATATATACATTATTTATTCAAATATATTTCTTGCATATATTCAACATCTAATTTTCATTTCAAACATTACAAATTTTAAAATCAAAGTAAGAACAAAAAGACATTTAAAATTGTGTCAAAATTGTATCAATATAATGATCCAGTATAATGGGCCCATAAAGTATTATTATGACCCAAATACCATTATCGGAGGGCCCATTTCGCTGCGCAGAATTTTATTTGTATGTTACATATTTAAATTTTAGAAATAATAATATACCAGTCAATTATTAATTAAATTAACAAAAAAAAAAAAAAAACAGAGGAAATGCATTTATCAATCAATCACTATTTAAATCGTTATCATAGAATTTTTGTCATAATTATACGAAGCTCAATAATATGTTTGATTAATTCATTATTTCAAAATTATGGATGCAAAATGTAATAAATTATGAAAAGTGGTGTCACCTGCCAATTGGCATGGTGGTTAAGTTAGCACATCAAATGATGCATATATAATTAATGAATTTTAATCTTTTTATCTTTTCAATTAATTCATTTCCCTAATCACAGAATCAATTCTTCTATAATGTTAAATTAATTAATAATTAGCTTATCATTCCTGTGATGACAAAGAGATTATTTAATTAAACAGTACATAAAATATTAATAGAAAACAAAGGAATACATTAATATGATATAAATTAATTATTTAATTAACCCCATTTCTAGGAATCAATAAAGAGAGACTGAAAAAGAAATTTTGAACATTCCATTAAAGAGTAGATGCATGTAAATAAAGTAACAATAAATAAACATTGGTTGAAATACATATATATATTTAAATCATGAATAAAGTATTATACCAAATAAATGTCAATAAAGTGTGGTAAAAAGACTAAACCAAGAGAGATCCTTTCATACAAAAATTAAACCCTTTTTCCTTTCCCAACTTTCAAAAATCATGGCTGTTATGCACCCACCAACCCCACCCCCTCCTCCCTAAAGCAACTTTACCTCATGCACATACATACATACATAATTAATTAATTAATATTACTACCCTTTACTTTTTACTACTTTTACTTACACAACCTTATGTAATGTATATATATATATAATGAAGTAAGTAGTTTTATATATTTAGATTGTTCCTACAATATTACTGCATGTATATATAGAGCGCACGTGCAGCACTTCTCGGTCACGTGCCGAGAGAGCTCCTTCAAAAGAAGACAAAAGGCTGTCCTGGTAAAAGACAGAACTAGGGTTAGGGCCTCTTTTTTTTTTTTTTTTTTTTTTTAAAAAAAAAAAATTTCTATTTATATAATTTAATTTTAATTAATGTAATAAAACGACCAAATCATTGCACGGCTATAATTTTCTAATCCAACATTACTCGTAACTTTATCTCTTTTTACATTTTCTTCGATCCTTCTCTCATTAATCAACCTTTATCAATATCATCTCTTTAATTAGGTTTTCCTTAATAATTAATTCCTAATTATCTCACCCCAAATCCTACATTCCTTTAAATATATATATATATATATTTATATTATAAGCATAGATAGATATATCTGAAGGGATCCAAAGATATTGAAGTGATCAGATAGTTGAATAAGGAAAAAGGCAAAGGTTTTCTGGGCATTGTGAAGAAGAAGTATGGAAACATTAAAAACAGCATTTTTGGTCCACATTTCGCTTTCATGGAATATTTCTTCCTTTCTTTAATTCACTGCACATACATATATATATATATAAATTTGTGTATTTATTTATGTATGTTTTTGTGCATTTATTCAGTTTTTAGATATACGAGTAACCCACCCCAAAATAAAATAAAATAAAATAAAATAAAAATATACATGGGAGAGAATGAGATGATAACAATAATCAGCAGAGACATGATTGGATTATATTATATTTTCCTGAATCCCACTGGAACTTTCCTACTCCATAATAATATCCATAATTACACTAATAATTACCCTTTTGAAATCCATATAAAAATATATATGTAATTAATTAATCAAGAATGCAAGTTCGGGAAATCCCAAGTTTCATTGATCTATGTTTATCTACAATGTTGAAAAATATAAAAAATGAATTAAGGTTGTGGGAGTAATTAATATTTAATTTAATTGATGATGTTGTTGTTGTTGGAGATGGATCTGATACATCTGGTCTGATCTGATCTGATCTGATTTGGTCATAGATGTACGTATGATACATCAATGCAATGATCAGACAAGTCCCAGAAAACCAAAAACAAGTTGCCATTGAGAGGCAACCTGCAACCTGCCTGAGCTTTCGAACTGAAAAAAAGAAAGAAAAGCAGCTCTCAGCTCAGGTCTTCCCTGTCATTTGCATTAATTGATCTGACTCTAACATTCAGATCATAATATATATAGCAATGCAGAAAGAGAGGAGACATCCAGAAATATTTTTTTTTTTTTTTTTTTAATGATAATACAATCGAAGAAATCAAATTTGATTTGAATATATACTTCAACAGACTAATTTACTCTAGAAATTAATTTTAATAAGTCTCTTCAAAAAAAGCTGCATTTACAAAGAAACAAGACATTGATAGAAGAAGAGAAGACGACGACCCACACGTACTCACAAATGGACACATCTTTCCAAGATAATAATTCTAAAGAAGTTATCCAAAAAAAAAAAAGGATCAATAGAGATGTAATATATATATATATATAACTTGATTGAATACTTGATTTTAATTTTTTTTTTTAATATATTCCTTAAAGAGGTAGGATAGAGGAGAAATGCTAACATGGCGGCGAATGGGGCTTGAGATTCAATCCTAAATCATCCTTATCCAAAACAAACTTCGTCTTGTTTGTCTCAACGGCTGCAGATTCTGGATGCAGTCTTTTCTTCGAAGATAACGGGACGCCAAACAGCTTAGTTCTTCCGGCGTCGGAATTGTTCATCGCAGGCTGTTCGAGGATCGTCACGCTGCCTTTGGTCGGAGAAGAAAAGGAGCCGAGGTTAAAAATGGCATTTCCCCGATTAGGGTTTTTGGGGGCCTCGTGGTACCCGATTAGTTGATTCAGAGGCTTCTGCAGCACGGAGGCGCCGCTAAACGACGGCGGCGGCTGCGGCTGCGGCGGCGATGCGGCGGAGAAGAGTAGCGACGAATGATGACTGGGAGCTACGGGCTTGACGTGATTCTGGACGAAGTAGATAATGTCGTTGTATAATCTCCTCATGTGGGCTAATTCCGACATGAGCATAGTGTTGTTCCTTCTCAGTCTTTCGTTGTCTTCAGAAAGCGCCGTTAATGTGGTGGTGGTGGTGGTGGTTTTGTAGCCATTACAGCCGCCGCTATTGTTGGCCGCCGGCGGCGGCGGCGGCGGCGAGTCGCACCAGTTGGTGTTGGAGGTCTGCAATTCGTCGGATTCAGGAGGAGATACGCTGTGTCTCGGCCTGTTATTGTAGGAAAAGAAACTCTGGGCGATGATCGGAGAGTGGTAGGGGTGGTTGATCGCCGCCGTCTGCGGCGGCGGCGGCGGCTGAGACGTCTTCCTCCGGTGGATCTCGCAGAGCAAATGCTTCTCCCCTTTCTTGAAGAACTCATTCGCAAACTCCCATCTGTCCGGCACGATCTTCCTGAAACCCTACAGATTCACAATTTTCCCCAAAATCAAAATCAAAATCAAAATCAATCGTCGAATTCCATGCAACTTTTGCCCTAATTGAAAAATTAAATCAAATTAGGGCTAAATTGATAAAACTGACATAGGTATTTAGCTGGCGGACGAAGCTGGAGAAATTGTTGTGCTTGAAATAGTTGGGGAGGAGGTCACGTGCGAACTCCGGCGGGCGCCACACGACGAAGGTGGTGTCGTCTTCTCCCCAAGAGACGATGTGGTCGGTGGCCGGATCATCCACCAGCTGGTAAGTTTTCGTCAAGAATGGCGCCGGAACCGATTTCTGTGAGTCCAGAGATAGCATTATGCCTTCACAGTTCTCCAGCAGCATCGCCATTGCTGACTGACTGATAGAGATAGAGATAGAGATACAGATAGAGAGAGACTTTATGCTCTGAACAAAATTGGGGTTTTAATTTGAGGAAGGTAAGCTTACATATATATGATATACATATATATATTATATATATTTAGGGGTGTATCTATGTATGTATTTTAACAAACATTTTGTTTATTTACACTACAAACCTACGTGTTTCTACTATTTAAATTTTACATTTTTCTGTAAAAAAATATATTTTTTTCTTTTACAAAATATCATATTATATATTATTTTAATACAAAAAAAACCAATTTTTTTTTTTTCTTAACTCATCGAAAGAACATTTTGGATGTGTACATACATACATATACGTATAGAGTGAGAAAGAGAGAGGGGAATATTATTATGGTTTCTTGTAGTGTGAATTAATTAATTAAGTGCCATTCAAGACAAACCCGTGACAAATTAAAATTTTTTCTATCTCATGGGATTAATTACTATTACTATACATATATACATATACATATCTCCATTTACTAGTAGTTGTTAGTAGTACCCTTTTATCTTTCTTGGCTACTGTAGGGAGATCCAGGACTAGAGAGCTAGATTCCAGAGCAGGAATGAAAGGCAAGATTCATGGCATAGGTGTGGGAGTCCGGGACTATGCAGAATGGAGGAGTGATTTGCCTCAATAGTGCTCCGTTCCATGACTGTCCTTTTTTTGGCACGCATATGAATATAAATATACATATTTATAATATATAATTAAATTAAAATAAAATAAAACCTTTATTTGGTTTTAGCTTCTTCCTTCTTCTTCTTCTTCTTCATGTTCTGCAACACTGATGCAGCTGTTTTGCTGGGACGATTCATTGTCAGACAGTAGTAGTGTTTCTAATAATAATAAATAATACTATAATTTTAATCACATTCAATTAGGGCTACCCTTCCACAGTCCACTGCAAGAGGGAGGGGCAATGCAGTCATTTCACATAACCTCAAATTTACAGATTAATTAAGTGAAGAATGCAGAATGCATGAAGAAGAAGAAGAAGATGATGATGGCTAAGTGGTGGAACTGTTCAATCCCATTTCACATTAAACGAGTGTGTCTGTATATTAATTTTTTTGTTGTTTTATTGTTTGTTTGTTAATGGCTCCAAACCACATACACAGAACACGCACTATCCCTTTCACCCCCTCAATGTGTATTTTTCTGCACTGCATTATTCCAAGGAAAGCTCCACTCTTCGATTTACGTGATGATGGAATTTATTATATAAATATATGGAAAATAAAAGCTGACGACATCATAATTTTATTTATTTATTTATTTATTTTCTTCTTCTTCTTCTCATCTTTTTCTTACAACAATATTCCAAACTCCTATAAAAAACATATTGCATAGAGACATATATACTCCCTGCTCATACCCCAACCTTTCCTTCTGTCTTTCTGTTCTTCTGCACCTCTAAAATATGAACTATTATTATTATTTAAATAAAAAAAAATACTATATACTGGGTTTTCCCCATTCCTTTGACCATGTATATATATTTTTTTTTAATTTTCATTTGCTGACGTGGATATAAAGTTTACTGGAGTGTGTCTATCTCCCAAAAAATGCAACAGCTTTTTTTGTAGTTTTCTTCTATTGGCACAATTAAGGAAGAGCAGTTATAGATAATATCTTATAATTATGGAGTTTATGGGATCAGATAAAAAAAACATATATAAAAGAATGGTAGGTTTGTTTTGTTTGTATTTATTTAACTTTGAGTTTTTCATTTGGATTTGATTAAATGATAATTTGATGTAATACTTTATAAAAATATTTTAATTGAATAGTAAAAAATTAGTATGAAATGCAAGTCAAACAATTGATTTTAGAAACACTTGTTATTTTAACTATTTAAACAAGGTTTTAAATAAATGTGATAGATCTCCACTTTTATATATATATATATATATATATAAAAAAATAAATAGATAAAAATAGGTGAAGGGTATGATCATGTTCTGGATTTTAGGGATGTATAAGGTCAACACCTAGTTGATGAATGTAATTAATTAAGTTAAAGTTTTTAAGTTTGTGGTGCATGGAATTGGTTGATTATATTCTTTTAATTAAGGTGGTTAATTAAATGGAGTATTATACTATAATAATCATGTACATATTTGATTATTTATTAATTATTTTTTTTATTTTTTATTTTTTTAACAAAAAAAAGGTAAAAGGAGGCATGCATTGATTCAATTTTGATGAGTTGCATTATAAGGAGGCTAGTAGGGACAGTTAAAAATGGCTCAAAGTATATAGGAAAATGATGAGTAATAATTTGAGCAAGATACACAAGTGATTACTTTGATCATGGCTTGGATTCTGATACACACATTTACTTTTATAATAATAATAATAATAATAATAATAATAATGAGAAGGAAAAGGTTACTCTGTTTCTATAAGGTCTTTCTTTTATCTCTTATTATTAGTTCATTGGATTTTTTAAAATAATTAAATTAAACCCTTATTATTCATTTCATATATATATATATATTTATTTGAAACATTGCATTTATATTAATTTTTAAAATTTTTATTAGATATTCTTGTGCCCCAAACTGATGAAATTCAAATAGTTATATAAGTTTTAGGGTTCCCCACAGTCATGATTAATGTTTTTGTATGGATGAATGTGTGGCTGTTCTCCATATTCATCTTAATTCATTCTTCCTATGCTGCTTCTGCTCAATCAGTGGAACTTTATAACTTTCTCCAACTTTCCTGACATGTTCTTCTTTTGTCTTTCCTAGCTAACATGCCATGCCACCATTATATTTTTGTTACAATTAATATTGAAAGAATTTAAATGGATCAAGAAATGAATGAATAATAATAAAAGAATAAGATGTATGTCTGCTTCAACTCTCAATATTTAATTGTCTGATTGTCAAATTCTTGTGCTAATATTTTTATTAATTTTCTAATTCTTGCAACAATATATTGTTTAATTTTCCATTTGTTGTAAGTATATATTATATAGTTGCAGCAGGAATGGAGGTGGCAGACAGTTGATTTGTTGATTGTTTTGAGGCTTATGCCATTCTCGTGATATGTATATATATATATATATATATATATTTGGATTTGGAGTTTTGTAGATGTGTATTTATTCCCATGTTTGTCTCCTCCATTCATTACATTGCATTACCTCTTTCATGTTACGTTCATGCTCTCCAATTAATATATATATATATATATATATATATAATATGCTAGCTTAGCTTCACATGCTGCTGCTCAATCTACATCTACCTAATCTCTCTTTCTCTCGTGTGGTCTGACGATTTGATTTGATTTAATTTAATTTAATTCAAACCTTTTGGGTAATTATACACATGTATGTGGAAATGTGTACATAGTGAAGACGAGGGCATACATATATATATTTGATTTTGTTGATGCGATTATATGTTAGCTATGACACCCGGACCGTAACTCACGCAAAATCGGACGTGACAGGATCATAGGCTAATTCTACAGGTCAACATAAAGTCTTCCAACGAGCTTTCGAAAAAAAATGTGCAAATTGTTGACATAAACAATATATTCAACTTCGAATGACCTAATACCGACTTATCCATATAGAGATAGATAACACATTATATAAAGAGATGCATCCCAAAAATATGTTAATATATACAAATACAAGACATGATTGATAACAAATGAGATAGTCCCACATAACATATTATACAGGACAAACAACACACTATATAAAAATAAATAATAGTACTCTCTCCGTCCACCGCCAATCTATCAATTTTATCATTTTAGTTTGTCCATCGCAAATATATCTATTTTTTTTTTAGTAAATATATCTTCTACTAAAATATAAAATTATCCACCCTTTATATAATATTACATAAATGCCATCAAATAAAACCACTTAATATCATAAATGTTAAAGGAGTATAATAGTCTTTATATGTATATCAATTGTACCACGTATCAATATACTCCCTCCGTCCCATAACAAAGTATCCATTTTTTTATTTTAGTCAGTCACATAACAAAGTATCTATTTCCTTTTTTAGTAATGGTGTGTTTGTTTGGGGGTTTGGATTTTGAGTTGGGATTTGAATAGTAAAAATTTTGAATTTGAATAGTTGTATGATGTGATATAAATAGATGTTGATGTGATGTTTTGAATGTAAAATTGATTTTTAGTATAATATAAAAAATAAAAAATAGGTGTTTGATTTGATGTTTTTTGGGGGAAAAAAATTGGATGAATAGTGTAAATCCAATCGAATCCCCCAAACAAACACACCCTTTCTATCTAACATTACAAATACCCTTACAACTTACAATATATTACACAAATGTCATTACTTTTATATCACACATAAGGTTATTTTAGTCATTTCTACTTTATTCATACTATATCCCAATATAATACTAATATTTCTAAAATTACGTGCAAAAAACAAATTGATATTTACTTATGAGATGGAGAGAGTAATATTAATATACTAAAATCTACGTGCAAAACGTAAACTGATAAATAGGCGGTGGATGGAGGGAGTATATGTTATTTTTATATTTATTGAGTGAAAAAATCAATGTTAATTGGTATTGGGTGAATGAGGGCGAGCCCACCACCATAATCAATGCCCTCTATCGTTTAGTCCATTTAATCATCGAACCAGGCTCTGATACCACTGTTGAGACTGGGCCAACTCAATGCCTAAGATGTGCATCGGTTTGCACCCGAACCGCGGTCATCTCGAAAAACCCTCCCAAGATGGATTCCTTGGAGCCCACCATGCTCAATCTACAAATTAATACAATCAATCTCACCAAATACACATCTTTATCATATATATATATATATACACTCTCTCTGTATATAGGTTAAAACTGAACATGCACTCATCAAATTAAAACAGCGTTTTGGTATGTGAGAGGCAATACCAAGAAGATTCTATTCTTATCTTTTATATATATATATATATACATATACCAGCAGTATAAATCGAACCCCCACCCTCTCTCACATGACCACCGCCAACAATAGTATACTAGCTCACACACGATTTAATTAATATATATATATATATAACTTATAATTATTGATATATATAGTGATAAAAAAAAAAAAAAAAACAATTAACCCTAGAAGTTTCTCGAGCTTCTTTCTATGCGTTAAAATATATTTAGAAATAATATATTATATTTATGATAGTTGTCTTATTTAAGAGATCTGTAGGATTCTTGTCGATTTGGATATCATTATATTATATTAAGTGTGTAAGTCTAGCTCTCCGTGTATATTATATTAAGTGTGTATATATACATATATTTCTAGCTCTATGTCTCTCTGTACTTAATGTAAACTGTACTTAATAGTTTTTTTTTTTTCTCGTGAATATTATAAATTAGTCGAATGTACGTAAATAATATATATACCACAAAATTTCAAACATCTAAAAAAAAAAAATCGGCAAAGATTAATTGGAATAAAAGGAATAGTATTTATGTTCTTTGTTTGGTGTAGGCAATTGAGAATGAAGAAGATAGATTTGATTAATAATGGTACGTCACGAGAGGTAGTGTGGGTTGGAGAGGTAACCAGTAATTACTTAAAGATATATATATATATATATATATATATAGAGAGAGAGAGAGAGAGAGATTACACGAGGAAGAGTGGCAGTGAAATAAATAGAGCACAGCAAAGAGAATAGTACGTATTGCAATTATACAATGCATGTCTTAATTAATTAAGCAGTGCTCCT